TCAAGAATTGTATATTGTAAGTCTCATTTTGTGAATAAAGTTAGTAGCTTTATGGTTTCTTGATTTTTATGCCCAAATTTCAGGGTAGAGAAAAGTGTTCATTTGTGATGGAGAAAAAGAGATCATCAAGAAATCCACAACAGATAGATAAGAGTCAGCTTAATTGTATGTGGGGATTGATTAGTAGCCTTTATTTTGGTCAAAATCAGAGGAAACAGAAGCTGCTTTCAAATGGGAAAGCTTCTACTAAGAATGCTATAGGTATGTGGTTAGAATTATTCGATTCGGAAACAGTCTCTCTACCTTCACAAAAGCACGAGCTAGTAATGTCTGTGTAAATTCTACCCTCCCGGACCTCACTTGTTGTGCCCTGATGTTAATGAATGATTGGGATTTTGATCTTGCAGGCAAAAATCCAAGAAAGATTGATGCTTTAACTTACTGTAGTGACCAATTGTATGGCTATGAGGTAAGTTTGTTTGGAGAATTTAACTATTTATCTAATTGTCACCAAAACATGTGGTACTAGAACTTAGCCAAATCTAGTTTTAAGGTTCTTGCATCACAAGGTTAAGGAAAAAGAATGTAACTTTGGAGAATAATTCTTGTTTTGTGCTATGTAACTCGGACTCTTCAAAAATATCAAGGGGTGCATGTTGGATTTGCCAAAAGTAGTGTATTCTTGGAGAATCTGACACGGGTGCGGCATCGAAAGTGAAGAGTCCGCGCAACTTAGGTTTTGTGTACCTGAAGTTCTTATAGCAATGTAGTCATAAGACAAGTGGTTTTACTTCTTAAGGAAGAAAAATGTGTTTCGATATCCTTTTAGATAAGATAATGATCCTATAGGCAGGGGCGGAGGTACATGTAATGAATGGGGTTCGATTGAATCCCATTTGTCGGAGAATATACTGTGAAAAATAGAGTAAAGCTGTGACATTCTTGACTCTTTTTGAATTTCCTTGTTAAAATTTCTGACTCCGTCACTGCCTGTAGCACATTATCAATGCAACTTCTGAGTAAAGCTAATGACTTGAGAGTTGTTTATCTCAGGATGGAGCTGAAGTGGAAGCTTTAGGAGTTCGTACGGGTGATAAAAGGATAAAGACTTCCATTCAAGAAGAAATTTCTGGTGAAATGCAGAAGAGCACTCAAATCATAGCCCGAAATGAGCAACACGAAGAAGTAGATTATGGACTATTTGATCATATGATAAGTAAATACAAGCCATCATCAAAGAAGAGCTGTAAGAATCAGTCACCTGTTTACGATTGGAAGGATACTGAGACCGGGGATATTCAGCAGGCTTCAAGTTCAGCGGAAATGTCTATTCATAAGTTAAAATTGGCGTCCATATTAGAAGCTATCGGCAGTCAGATTCATCAAGAGAATGGAGATTCAAAGAGGAGTTCCATTAAGAATGATCAGCTTGATGAGATCAGTTTACAAGTACTTCAGACGAGTGCTAAAGCATTTATCGATCAAATGTTCATAGACAGGAAGTATATCAGCAAAGGTAGTGTGAGCTATGAGCCTGAACAGTTTTCCAATGCATTAGAGATGTTAAATTCAAATGGAGATTTGTTTCTGAAACTCCTACAAGATCCAAATTCACTCTTAGCTAAGCAAATCCGAAACATGCAAAACGTGCAAATGGCAAGAGATTCGATCAAGTCCTTCATGAGTAACAAACTACCAGACTGTGACATTTCAAAGAGTGAACAGAAGCATCATCAATCTGCATCCGAAGAAAGTTCCAGCTCCCGACCTTCAAATAAAATAGTTGTTCTGAAGCCGATTCCTAGAACTGTTCGATGTTCTGAAAATGTTGACTGCTATTGCTCGTCTATGCAGTCTCATCATAGCACAAGTACTAAAGGGGAAAATGTGCAGCACAAGAACTTTTCTTTCAAAGATATCAAGAGGAAACTGAAATATGCAATGGGAGAAAAATGGAAAGAGAAGCATTTGATTTCAGTAGGAAGTACTGTACATAAGCTTCATAGCCTCAGCGATAGGCCGAACCTAGAAGTTGTTAATGAAGGGGGAAGTTCATGCCTTACTGTTGCACGATCCACTAACTCGTTCACCGAGTCCAACAGCAAGAATGAGGCACAGAATAAACAAAAATCCACAAGTGAAGCACCTAAAGTCTCCTTTCTGACTGAAAAAGTGCGTAAAAAGTTGGACGTGTCTGCCATAAGCTACGCCAAGAAACGGGAGCTGGATATATCTATGGAGGCAAAGAGACATCTTTCTCAAAGATTGAACTTTGTCAATACTACAGGTGAAGCTGTGATGAGCACACAACCCTCAAGAACATTGGAAAGAATTCTTTCCTCGCCCGAGCATGGTCGTTTGTTCAACTATAGTTCAAAACAGGATCTCAAGAGTAATCCTGAACAAATGAGTTACAACAGTAGGTTTCTGTTCCATTTATTTAAGAATTCTTTGGTTTTCATATGCACATTGCCTTTTAGAATTTTAAGTTGTTAACATTCATTTCTTGCAGATACAAGTATAGCGGAATTGCCCCGTGAGCCTACACATACTAGTTTTCAAAGTCCTCAAAGACACAAGGATTGCCAGCATCTCAATAGCTCAATGGTGGTAAGTTCTGCATCCTCTTCCACTAATATGTCATGGAAATATTGCGAAACATGTTTTGATATTACTTGTTTTCCCGTTTACTTCATAAAAATCTTACTCCTGTTGCACCATAATCCTCTTTAGGCTTCACCTTCAGAAGTTTGGTCTCCTGGTTCTTCAACAGACGTTTCATCGACGAGTCCATATAGCATGTACAAATTAAGAGGTGTTGACAGTATTATGGACAGAGGAGATCACCCAAGTCCGGTGTCAGTTTTGGAACCAGTTTTCACTGATGATCTAATCAGCCCTTCAAGAAATGAACCATGTAAGTAACACAAAATCTTCAAGATAATTTCACGTATAGTCACTAAACTTATCCACTATAACAGCAAAGTCACTAAACTTCATGATCATTTGTAGCTGTCACTGTATTACAACCACGTCGTATTGACTTTGAGGGATGTTTGAACAAGGAATCCACTGACAATGCCATACTGAATCGTGCTGAACCTGATGCCCTTCGTACTTACATTCAGTCAAGTTTGCATACTCTTCACTTGAATTGGGAAGAGCTTTGGCTAAATAGGCATCTTTCAGAACAAATGCTCGATGCAATGCTATCCGATGAACTAGAGACATTAGCATTACAATGTCATTCTGAGCCTAAACTCCTTATGGACTACACAAATGAAGCTCTACTAGAAGCATATGATTCTCACTTCAGATTTCCTCCATGGCTATCGTTCTTTCAACCCAAAATCTGGTCCTTTCCACCAGAAAAACATCTAGTGGAAAAGGTAATGAATGAAGTGAGACAACACCTTATTCCATTGATGGAACAACCTACATTGAATGACCATGTTGAGATTAATTTGTCAAAATCTGGTTCATGGCTCGATATCCGAAACGACACTGAAGATGTTCTGACTCAAATCACAGATGATGTTCTTGAAGAATCAATTATGTATACTGTTCTCCAACTTCATACCTCTTTCTTGTGTAGCTAAATTTAGCTTCTTTCATGAACATTTATTTTTTCTTTTTGTTGTAATGAGAATTTATACTCCTTAGCAAGTATATATCTTCTTGTTTACATAGAGTTTGTTTTTAAAATGTTGTTAGGATGATTATAGTTGATGTAGTTAAATAACTTATTAGAATATTGGAGGTACCAATTAACAGTGCTATTAGGTACAAAGTTGTTTACCATATGAACTAGTTCAAGATTTTCAAAAATTCATTTTATTTTGTTCTTTCTTTCATACTACCATTTGTTTTTCTTTCTGGTTTCTCATCTAGTGTCCAGTATCCGCATTTCTAACAAATACGATTTCACATTCAAGGCTCGAATTCAAGACCTTTAGTTAAGTTGCTTAAACATGTCAGAGTATTTATCACTCTACTACAACTGTTGTTCACTACGATAGGTATTTGTACGATAAATAAAAAACTTTTTGAATAACCAAAGATTTTTCAACAATTCTATTACTAATTTTATCATAAAGTAAAAATGATATCAGTTTAATATCAATATTTAGGTGATATTTTTTTTAATATACCATTTTACTTTTGGAGTAGGTTATCTACAAGTCAATATCTTCATAAAAGAAGGCCATAATTTGTAGCCTTTGATAACCTCTATTCACAGGCAAGTTGACAATTTGGAAATTGACAGCTTTTCACATGCAAGTTGGCAATTTGAAAATGATTTTCCAAACCTTATTTGGCTACAATTTTTAGGAAATTTAGAAGAATAAAAGAAAATCATTATCATGAAGAAAATTAAAAGGTTTCATAAATAAAGCTAGAGGCAAATCCTCTCACATGGTAGGGAAAATTTTCTAGTAGATTGTGTTAAAAATAATTTTATGCGTATGAACTTCAAAATCTGTTTAGAGGTATACATTGTTAATTTTAAGTATAAATAAAGGATAAGAACTTTATATTTGTGTAGAACTAGTTACTCTATGTCGTATTTCGATCATAAGTTATTACATTGTGTTATATAACATCTACATAAAATTATATCGATTTACCTCTGTTTTGTTGATTAAAAAATCAGTATACCACCTCATGTATCATCCCCTCTTTCTATAGAAGAGAGATAAAAGAAAAATCAAAGTTATAATGACTTGATTATATTTTTCACTAACCTTGTGGCCACAAGTCCACAACTATGATTAAGTTTTTTACGGATAAATTGGCTAAAAATAATTACATTTGTTAACTATATATATTAATTTGTATTTTTGATCAAATACAACTCAAATTTCAAATATTATTTTTTATTTTTAAAACATTATTTTTTTGAATACTCAAGATTTTCATGACTATATTATGTTGGCCCCACAAAACCATATAAAATTGTCATCTTCCCGCCCTTCATAAACCATTCCATAAACCCTAGCCTCCATTTTTTCACTGTAAATTCTCCGGCCTCTCTCTCCTTTTCCGGCAATGGAACCTCAAACTCAGGCGAAGAAATCAAACCTGGTACTAATCCTAGATTACGGTTCTCAATACACCCATCTCATCACTCGCCGAATTCGAAGTTTATCTGTTTTCTCACTCTGTATCAATGGCACTTCTTCGTTGGACTCCATAACCGAGCTCAACCCACGTGTTATTATCCTCTCAGGTGGACCTCACAGTGTCCACGCTGACGGTGCGCCGTGTTTCCCATCTGGGTTTATTGAGTATGTGGAGTCGCAAGGGATTCATGTGTTGGGGATTTGTTATGGGTTGCAGCTTCTTGTGCAGAACCTTGGTGGGGTTGTGAAGGTTGGGGAGAAGCATGAGTATGGGAGAATGGAAATTGAGGTTCAGAAGAATTATGGGTTGTTTGGGAATAAGCAAATTGGGGATAAACAGGTTGTTTGGATGAGCCATGGTGATGAGGCTGTGAAGTTGCCGGAAGGGTTTGAGGTTGTGGCGAGGAGTAATCAGGGAGCTGTTGCTGCTATTGAGAATAGGGAAAAGAAGTTTTATGGGTTGCAGTATCATCCTGAGGTAATCATTATTTAGTCTTTGGTTGGATATAAAAGTAGGTAGTTGTAAAGATACTAAATGGATGATAGAGTATACAAATAGAATGAAAAGATAGCATTTTGATGATTTTTTGATTGCTTAATGGATGATAGAGTATACAACTAGGATAAAAAAAATAGCATTTTGATGATTTTTTTATTACTAATTGGATGATAGAGCATGTACAATTAGAATAAAAAGATAGCATTTTGATGATTTTTTGAGTACTAAATGGATGATAGAGTATACAACTAGAATAAAAGATAGCATTTTGATGATTTTTTGAGTACTAAGTGGATGATAGAGTATACAAATTGAATAAAAAGATAGAATTTTGATGATTTTTTGAGTACTAAATAGATGATAGAGAATACAAATAGAATAAAAAGATAAAATTTTGATAATCTTTTGAGTAGTTAAGGTTGACAACAAAGTCCAAGTCTTCCATGATATGTTTTATCCATTTGTTAATTTGCACAATTTTGGTTACTAGGCTCCTCCCTCACTGCTTATTATTCTCTGTGTTTTTCCCTTTTAAGGAGCCATAATGCTTGTGTGGTTGCTTTGCTTATATAGGTATCATGCGATATAACATCAAAGGCACTTTATAGTTTGGAGTTTAAGGGATAGTTGATTGAGTTTGATTGACTGATACATCAGTTGTGCTTCATATAATTTGTTAAAGATCAGAAGTGGGAGGAAAAGATGGAATGAAGAATACTCATAGGATCGCTACTTCTGCCTCTATATTAGTGAACACAAGCAGAACTGATAGAAAGAGAAAAAAATGTCATTAACCAATCAAATAAAAGTTATAAACCCAAAGCATATTGACCTTTTGCCATTACAAGATTAGGTTTTATGATTTCCTAGGTGTAAATTCATTTGGTCTTTGTTGGTTCATAGGATAGGACCCTCAGATTAGATCTTTCTGTTTGTTATTTATGTCGTCGCCATATTATTTGGGAAAATTCATTTCTGACTTACTATGCATCCTCTAGTTTTGGAATCTCTGAATATGTGCTAGAAAATATTTCATCTGCACTGACCACATGAATGCTGTATAGGTGACACACTCGCTTGAAGGGATGGAAACACTACGACACTTCCTATTTGATATTTGCGGGATTACAGCAGGCTGGAACATGGAAAATGTTCTGGAGGAAGAAATAAAAGTAATTAAAGCCATGGTAGGACCTGAAGATCATGTAATTTGTGCTTTATCTGGTGGTGTTGATTCCACAGTTGCAGCTACCGTGGTACACAAGGCTATAGGAGACAGGCTTCACTGTGTTTTTGTTGATAATGGTCTATTAAGGCAAGTCTCTAGTCTTGCCACTTCTCTATAGGCTGCTGATTATCCCATCAAATAGTAGTACCTCAAACTAATTCAAAAATAAAATTTAAAAGAACCCTGCAAAAATTGGAGTTTTCAGTTAATCGGTTAATCCATTAGCGACTGCTTCATACCCTTGACGGTGTTGACATGGGTTTTGCATCATCTTTTTTAGGTACAAGGAGAGAGAAAGAGTGATGGCAACCTTTGAGAGTGACCTTCATTTGCCCGTTACCTGCGTTGATGCTACAGAAGAATTTCTCAGCAAACTAAAAGGTGTGACAGAGCCTGAAATGAAAAGGAAAATTATTGGGAAGGAGTTCATCAACATATTTGATATTTTTGCCCATGATTTGGAGAAAAAAGTGGGAAAGAAACCTGCTTACCTAGTCCAAGGAACCTTGTATCCTGATGTAATAGAGTCTTGTCCCCCACCTGGAAGTGGAAGAACACATTCTCATACGATCAAGAGCCATCATAATGTTGGAGGGCTCCCAAAGGACATGAAGCTGAAGCTCATCGAGCCACTGAAACTTCTGTTCAAGGATGAGGTTTCATTTTGTCTTCTACAACTTTTGCATGCATCTCCTCCACACTATTTTTCCCTTTCATTCCAGACTGATTTGAACTATTTTACTCCACTTACCTCGCAGGTTCGTGCAATGGGAAAGATTATGAATATCCCTGTGGCTTTTCTCAGGCGCCACCCATTTCCTGGTCCGGGACTTGCTGTCCGAATTCCAGGAGATGTCACAGCAGGGAATTCCTTGGATATTCTTCGTCAGGTATGAGGAGTTCTCCAGTATTTAGTAGTAATTTCTCAACCCTTTCTGTTTTGGTTCCTTGGCCTCTAAAGATTTCTGTTGTTTAGGTTGATGAGATCTTCATTCAATCAATCAAAGATGCTGGAATCTATGATGAAATTTGGCAAGCTTTTGCTGTCTTCTTACCTGTGAAAACCGTTGGAGTACAAGGAGACCAAAGAACACATTCCCATGCTGTTGCACTTAGAGCAGTCACAAGTCAAGATGGAATGACAGCAGACTGGTACTTATTCGTTCCCATATACTGACCACCACTCTATATGCTGTTATTTTTGTATGTCGTGAGCTAAATCTGTTTATTTATTGTAATTTCTTTATAGGTACTACTTTGATTTCAAGTTCCTTGACGATGTATCAAGAAAGATTTGCAACAGTGTTCGTGGTGTAAATCGAGTTCTTCTGGATATTACATCAAAGCCTCCATCAACAATCGAGTGGGAATGATTTGGTTATAAAGAATGTTATGTTTAGTGACTAGTGCAGTACTCTTTAGCTTCTCTTTTTCCTTTCTGGGGTTGGGAAGGTGAGGGTGCAAAACAGAAGGGGAAAAAGTCCATGAAACAAATATAGGTCCTTTTGTTGTGTGGTAGAATTGGTTCTTTTGAACGATTTTGTATGTCATGGGTTTATTGATGCAAAATTTTACTGAAATCTTGGTGTCTCTTTACTTCTTTTTGATAATGTTGGTAGTTGATGACTATCTACTCATTGGTGATTAAGAAAGAACTGTGATATAACAACATTTTACAACAAAATTGAGTTTTGTTGACTATTCAAATGGTACCTAAGTTGGGTTTAAAACGTTGTGAGATAGTTTGGTGACTATCTACTCCTTGGTGATCAAGGAACAAATGTGAGACAACACCATTTTACGACATAATTGAGTTTTGTTAACTATTCAAATGGTACCTAAGTTGGGTTTAGAACGTTCTGAGATAGTTTGGTGACTATCTACTCCTTGGTAAGAATTGTGAGATGACACCATTTTACGACAGAATCAAGTTCTGTTAACTTATGTATAACTGTTGTTATGCTAGTAATGATGCTCGTGGAAGATAGCAGGTGCCTCATAAAATAGTTGAGGTGCATTCAAACTTGCCCAAACAACACTGTCATTAAAAAAAAGATATGCTGATTAGCTAAGTTGGTATAGGAGAGCTGCAACATATTTTCTTACTTCTTAGGGTACATTCCTCCTTTTTTCCTGGTGCCATTATCTGTTTATAATTGTTTCTCTTTCAACAAATCCAACCTTTACTGGAAAAGCTGTAGCCATCCCTTTGTTCAACTTTTGTGGGGTTTTATGTACTAAAAGTAGTTTTGTGTGTCCTGCTACTTCTCCACTTGGGTTCTTTCTCAGATTTAGGATAAAAAGGAGGAATCTGTGAGGCGCTCTCTTCATTTTTCAGAATTTAACCAACTCTATATTACTGCTAACACTAATTAGTATCATCTAATATGACCCCTTTTTACTTAAGTCTTTTCAGCAACTGTCTTCAATCATGAACTTATCCTCCTTTTGAATTGAGGATCTTTCGGAACAGCGTGCATTGTGTGATTACACTTGCTATGTTGTTGTTTGTCTTCAATCATGAACTTGACATGGTGTGAAGATACTGAAGACCCCTATAATAGTTCCCAAGATGAGAGTTGTATTCTAGCACTTCATTTATGACGAGAAAGAAAGGATTTCTCGGAGCAATAACATAGGTTTCAGGCTCAGAAGTCAACTTTCCCGAGTGAGCAGTACATGTACTAATCCGTGGAAGGCTAAAAGGGTCACCACTATTGAGGATCCCCCTAATCTTGTATAGGTAGTCTGAAAGTTCACCGCGGTTCATTGTTGTAATTACAAACAAGGCAACCCTTTTCGGGAAGCTACTACAGGACCACCCACCACTAGTCTTCGGCTAGAGGGGTTTGTTGCATAAAAATCTCACTTTGTCTCAAGAAAAAGCTTAAGCATGTTTAGAATGACTTAAGCAAGATTCATAAGTCTCAATAATGTTGAATGACTTAAAGCAAACACCAAACTTTTTTCCATTCCTGAAGTGACCTTTCAACTTTGTTAGTGGGGACAGAAATCAATAGCAAGATTCAGCAACTTTACTTTCATGAACTTTTTAGAGGACCACAAAAAAGTGATGATCAAGAAAGAGGATGATGCATTAGAAGAAAGCTACTCCAAATTACTACTTTCCTCTAGGCTTTTCAAATCTTCGAAAAAAGCATTTTAAAGTACAGTGCTATACACAAGCTTTAACTATCCTCTAAGGACATGATTGATCAAGCTCTTTTTCATATGGACTTAATTGACCAACCTTGAGTGACTAATCTTCAAGATTTCCAAACTACTCTCTGAAGTGCTTCTCTAATTGTTCCGACTGCTACTGTTTTCGATCCAGTTGACTGCAAAGGAGAAGATACCAAAGAAGAATGAGTATGAATCTTTAGTTACAATATAAACAAAGGATCTAACATAATAAGCTTGGAAACGAACACATGCGTATGTCAGTTAGTACTCCCTCTGTCCTAATTTATGTGGCACTTTACTTTTTAGTCCATCCCAAAAAGAATGTCACGTTTCTATAATTGGAAATAATTTAACTTTAAACATTCCCTTTTTACCCTTAATGAAATGATTTTTAGCCCCACAAATGGTTAAGGAGCATTTTATACCACAAAATTCAAACGTCTTCCTTTGTTTCTTAAACTTTGTGTCAAGTCAAACAGTGCCATATAAATTGGGACGGACGGAGTATTTCATAAGTTGCGCCAAATTTTTTGAATTGGTTTTGGCCATTAAAAAGAGCCCCGCCATGACAAACCTTGGATTCAATAGCAATGGATAGAATCCCATCAATGTTGGAAGACTGAACTGTATGGCAATCCATATGTAGGTCAGTCAATGCCTCCATAATTTGAAGTAACAAGTTCTCGCTCCAAAGACAACTCATCTTGATCGAGACTTCCTTATCGATCATATTGATGACAATACTATCAGCTGAACTACGTTTCAGTAATCCATTGCAGCTTTCAGGTTCCATTTCATCCATATCACATGCCTTTCTTTTGTTCGGTAGTGATTCCCTGATGTCATTGAATTTGCTAGTGCCACAATTATCAGATGTCTGCTCTGCAGTATCATTTGATCGTCTTGCTGATCTGGCCTCCAGCTCTTGAACTCTCCTTTCAAGCTCTTTCATGTATTCTATTGTCTCATCGAGTAATGATATTTTGTCAACCTGCAAACACCAATGGGAAAAACACAAATCCTGATTAATATGTACCATCAAACAGCAGCTGGGTAAACTTGAGGAGATCTTCCAGTACCTTGCTACTAGTTGGCAGCATCGATGCAAGATGCATGAATCTCTCATTTATCTTTTCTCTTCGCCTTCTCTCTGAAATAACGCGGTTTCTATCAATGTCATCAACTTCTGGTCTCCAAAGGCTGTTCTTTTTACCATTTTCTCTGCTGAATTTATGTATAACACCAGCATGCATTCTAGGTACTTCAAGAAGTACCTTCTTCAATAGTTTTTGTGCAGTTCCAAATCTCGGCATCTGAATATCGGTCTTCCAACCAGCAAAACTTGACTTTTTATTCATATTTCTAAAATGTGGTCCCAAAGTTAATTGGTCAGAACTCTTTAGAAGAGTAGAAAGGACAGCTTGATATTGAGCATCATCTCTTTGGTGATCTAAAAGATGCGGTTTCTTCTGATCGTTCTCTTGATGGTCTAGTGGGCAAGGCTTAGTTTCCTTCTCTCCACTCGAAAGAGGGGACAACTTTTCACAATTTGCATTGTTTTGAGAGATGCAGTCACTGGAATTCAAGGAATTATTCGCGCCATTACTCATATTGTCATCCATGAACCTCCAGCTTTGAGCTTGTGAAGTTTCCCCAATACCGTCTACCACCATCAGTGAATCTTCTGCCTCTTGATTGGCGACAAAACCATTTGAACTATCATGAGGTGAATTTATTTCAACTGGATAAGCATCATTTTCAAGTGCATTATGATCAGGCTTTTGGCTAACGATATTCGTGTCATTTTTTGCATCGTTGGAGACATAATTAGGCCTCTTCGAAATAACGGAGTGATCAACCTCTAGAAAGGAATTTTTTATTTGCTGAATGAGGTTAGGATCTTCCGTGACCTGCAAAAAAACATGTTACAACAAGGCAAAAATATCATCACAGGTAATTAATGATATCTTGTAAAACATCAGGAAGACTAAAGAGAAATTGAAACTGACTTACAAGCTCGGTGACTCCCAGCTCAATTACGCCTCCTAAATAGGGAAAGCATACAACAGTCTACAAGTTGCAAAGAGAGGAAAAGGCATTAATCAACCACATACTCCATGGAAAAGGGATGAATGACATAAATCAGGATCTGATGCATACTCCTATCTGGTAGCAGAGATTTGTTTCATGCATTTGACGTATTTTAGGTGATAGACAACACAATAAGAAGATATTAGAGTAAGGGTAAATATTTAGAAGTTTTATCTGCGCATGCTTGCACGTCTCTGCATGCTCTCATATGTGTTTGTGTGTGTGTGTAAGAGAGAAAGAGGGAGATAGAGTAGTACCTGGATAGATGCACTCTGGTGAGGCAAAGAGGATTTAACCAGCAATATAGAGAAACCAAAAAGGAAAGAGATGTCAGAATTTTCAATTAAATTGATATCAGAGGGTGTGCATTATTCAGTTTTAAGGTTTTAACCAAAATAACTAATGAAACAAAATTTTCAGTTCTTTTGGTTAGATATTTTTGGTATTTTGGCTAGTTTCAGTTTCCATTTTTCATGTTTTCTGTTTTTCAGGTTTGTTTTCTTGTCCAAGCAAACACAGTTTGCCAATTTTACCAAAACACAAACAAACCGAACTTAATTAACCCAAAATCGACCAAATGCACAACCTTAAGGATATCATCTTAGACTGAGGTTACATTTAGACCAAAGCTGATACATTAACCATATACTTGCCTTTGCTAGCAAAGAACGAGAAAAGATTCTACTCTCGGCTTGGTGAGCGTTGCATAGCCAGACTGTTTCATTTGTTGCTAAGGTCTTCCCTGGCAACCTGTGTAATAATTTTACAGCAATTAAATACCTAACTATAGTGAACACATTATGCACTGTTCTTTTAAGAAGAAGATAGATATCGATCATTTTCTTTCCTATCTACTCTAAGAACAGAACTAAACGGGGCATCGTTAATAAACTTCAAACCAGAAAGGGAGCAATACTCCACTTGAACATTAAGAAAACAAATGATTTCAGGAGAAGACTAGAAAGATTGTTATTTTACATTATATGAGGTTATGAACTTCGCGTGATCTTTGTTATAAGATATAACCAAGTATGGCCTAAGTGGACTAAAAATTCTAACCAAGACATCAGAAAACAAACTACATGCACAAGATATGGAATTTCAAGAAATTACCCTTGGCCAACATCGAAGACAAATGACATGCATACTAGGAAATACCACTCTGTATCAGTGAGATCTTCTGGAGATAATGAGGCCGATGGCCTTTTGGCGTGTGGCTGTAGGTCTTCTTCACTTTCACCTGTTAAGAGGGAACTATAAAGTTCTTTCAATTGCTCAGTTCTCTGCAACCCCAGCTGGTCTTCATTAACTTCCCCCGCCTGAACAGTCTTCCTGGTCTTGATATCCCCATTATAGTACCCATCAATCCATTTCAACACCCTGGAAGATAATATGCCAGATTTTAGAACACTATCTTCAATACATATTTACAATGAAACATATACAACAACAACATCATACCCAGTGTAATCCCACAAGTGGGGTCTAGGGAGGGTAGTGAAAGACTCTCGGATCAAGTGCAACAAATCAAAGTAGTTATGAAAAAGGAAATCCAACAGTGAAGAAAACATGTCAATTAATAAGGAAAACACAACAACGCTTTCAGAAAAAAGGAATCCTTGCCAGATAAAGTCTGTTGCACTAAGCTCCCACTATGCACGGAGTCCAAGTAAAGGTAGAACCACATTGGATCTACTGTATGCAGTCTTACCTTGCATTTCTGCAAGAGACTGTTTCCACACCTTGAATCCGTCTATTGGTCACTCGGTGGGAAGTCTTACCATTGCACCAAGGCTTCCCTTCTAGGAGGGAGATAAATTATCAAGAACTAGTAACAGAAGTTGAAATCAAATTGATATATCCTGATTCCTAACAGTACAAGAACTGTAACGAGGGATTGTACATGAATAAAGAGGATTTAACATAAGTACCATCATTCTTCACCTTAACCTCAACACTCCTTCTTACTCCAAATTTACCGGTCCTTTAATTTAAAGACTTTCTCTACAATGAAATTCAAGCAAAATACAACAACAACATATCTAGTTTAATTGTAACTCCACAAGTGGGGTCTGACTGCTGAGGAGGTTAGAGTGTGCCTAAGGTAAAAAGGTTGTTTTTAACAGACCTTCAGCTCAAGTAAAGCAGAACCAAAAAACAAGCAAGTAAAACAAATACAGTAGCGAAGAAGTCATGCTAAAAAACAATTAAGAAAAGGACAAGTAGAAGGAAAATGTTAGCCCTTATTACCCTGGTTGTGTAACTGGAGTTGACCAGAAGATTGCATAGCTCCATTGAATGCCTCTAACAGCAAGAGCAAGTTGCTTTCTCAAGTTGCCTGGGACTCCATCTTGATCTTGGTGTCCCATAGCCATTTTCAAAGCTTCAATCTTTTGTCTCACCAAAATGACAGTGAAGAAAAAATCAGCTCAAAATTCTAAAAACAACACCAAAATCAGAAAACATCAAGAAAGCACAAATCTTGAATCTTAATTCCTAATGGGATCTCAATTCTCAGGACCAAAACCATATTGGTCCATACAAAGAGAATTTTTCAGTTTCATATTTCAAGAAACAAGGCCAAAATACCCATTTTTTCACAAGGATAATGTTAGTGACTAAGTAGTAAGCACCCTTTTGAGCTTAAATCATAAAGATAGCGACTTGCTACAAGTTGGCATATATTGAGCTACTTAATTGCTGTTTCCATAATTCCCCTTAAGTTGAAATGTACATGAAGTGGGGTTTCAATGGTGGAGTAACTATGCTAAAGAATTGTACTGAAAAGAGGGTAAAAAAGGTTGAAAAAGCAATAAAAATCTAATCTTTAGGAGTCAGAAATTGAAACACTTTAGGGCCTACAGTGAAAATCAAGAAGTGATTACTCATTTTCTCTGTGTATTTTGCACCACAAGAGTATAAATAAAAAATCATTAAATTTTGAAAACAAAAAAAGCAGAAGAATCAAAGTTGGTGGTTAGCACTGTCGGGCGAAAATTTTCATTAAGGGATTTAGATTATGAATTAAGTAAACAGTAAAAAGCTACAAGAAGTTCAACATCTATTCAATATACATAAAAAATAACTTTAATTATATATATAAATAATGTAATTGAAAAAGATTGCTCCCCTCGAACTAACTTGGCTCCGCACGGTGGTTAATTGTGGCTAAGCTAAAGACAAAATTCAAATGAAAAGTACTAAAATGACTATGACATGGGATACAATTTTTTCCTTTTGAAATTTTTCTGATTTGAAGTCCAAATAAAGAATTTTGAAGTTCTAAACATTTACTATGGGAAAGTGTAAAAAATATTATTGGCTTAATACATAATTAATCTTTTAAATTTATTAGAATTTGTTTTAATTGAGTGATTCAACTCCTAAAGGTAGAATGTAAACAAATTTTATTATATCTCATGAAGATAAAAGAGATTGTTTTTTTTATAGATCGGACTCAAAAAATGAAAGAAGTAGTAGCAATATTTTATGTGTAAAAAACTATGGGCTGCTGTAAAGCAGCACGTGGAGCTATAATTGCCTAGAAATTGTGGGTCTTCGCATCAATAAGAATTAAGAATACAAATAAATTAATTAATTTACAAAAGACGATTACTTTGAAAATCAATTGACGCATATGTGTCATTAAGTTTCAATAATGGAAATAATTAGAATAAATTTGATCTATCACGTGCAATGTTTACAATAAAATTATCGTGTTTCTTTTTTACATATCACTTAAAAAATATTAATTAAAATAGTTTTTAAAATTTTTATTTTTCGTTTTATGGGAAGAGATAATCTTTCTTTATTGAATATCTATTTGATTTATATGTCACCAATCACCACTATGGTAGGGGCACTATTAAATAAACATAACTCATGTCACTTTTTTTTAGATTGAATTTTATTTGTTACGTATAATTCATTCAGTCACATAATTCGATTCACAATAAGCTATAATTTAAATATAAATATTAAACTCATAAAGAATGTCATGAGTATACACAAAAGTTCTTTTTTTTTAAAAAAAAATCTTTTGAAATCGCTTATCATCTTTCAAGAAAATAAATTTATTTCAATAAAGAAGTCCTTCTCCTTGCGGAAAGTTCTATTTATCTTTCACCCAGTGTCCGATACGAAGCTCGAAAAAAAACAGTTACACGTGATAAAAGAAGTTAGTCATTCAAAAGCGCACTTATGGATCCACCTCAAATCTATAATGGAATATATTAGTCAAATATATGTTTTAATAAGAATTTTTTTAGTTGGAATAAAATATAGAGAGTGGATCTAAGGATTCACTTTAAACCGATTATGAATCATCACTAGGTTTGGTAATCAAATATTGGAATCACTAAAGTGAATTTTATAATATATTCAAAAACTAAGTTGGACTCATCAAGAGTATGATAATATTATATATTATGTTAGGTGACAAATTCATTTGGTAGTCACTTTCACATTTTATGTCTCAAATTTCAACTTTTTGGTGTTGTGGGGGTGGAAGGGACAAAAAAACAGGGAATCAATTATTGTTGAAGATCTAGTTTCAATGACATATGTCATCATCATATTTGTGTAAGAGTAAACATGACAAACATCTAACATAATATTATATTTTTATTTTCCAAGTCCATCAAGACTTGAATATATAAGAAGAAAAAAAATCAACTAGTGTTACATATGTTTCTTCATTTTCTATTTGAATTTTCCAAATCACCTGACCCCATTAATTCATATATTCATTTTCCATTTGAATTTTCGAAATCACCTGACCTGATTAATTCAGATTTGCCATAGGTAGAATACATTCAAGAGGAAGACTGATTAAGGACGTTCGAATGTTAGTTTTCATACTCCTGGTTAAATAAATTGATTTATTGGATCTTCAAATAACAACTCTACTAAACAAGGTTATGTAAATGGAGGAGAAACATTAGGACAAATAATAAAATGATATAGTAGTGAGGTAAAAATTGTATTCAAAAGCTAAAGAAAAGCAACAATGGTGAAAGCTTTTCTATGGGTTAGAAAATGTATCAGCCCTGCAATTCATTCAATTACACTCTGTTTATTCTTAAACCTTCAAAGAAGCAAAGACTTAACTGGCATCTCACTCATATATAAAGCACCAGAAAATATGTGCAGCTCACCTAGTTGACATCGTCCATCAAGACAGATCCACTCATGGGAAACGAACTAGCCTATTTACAGCCGAGTCCAATGCATCTACGTTTCTCCGGATGATTTTCCTTCAAGGTATCAAGGAATCACAAAGAACATACAGAACACATGATATATTGATTGGTTCTAAACAGTCATACTATGTCATCGCATGGAGCAAGGTGCCCAGGAATTCTGGCTCAAGGCAATAAACGAAAAACTAATGATATAAAAAGAAAAACAATGAAACGAAACCTGTCAGTCCACTGGCTAATTGCCAACTGCAGGACAAGAATCAGCATTTCATCCTATAGTCAAACTTTAAACAAAGAATTGGTGGTCGTGCATATGGAGACTTAAAGAAGAAATAATGTCTAACATCAAACCATAATCACATGGAAAGGATACAGCTGTGTTGCAAGATTATCAATTCCTTTCATTTCCTCGTTCAATCTGCAACGAGAGAGTTAGCTCAGAAAGATTCGCCAGAATAGTAGATTTTTGGAATGGGGGAGAAAGAGAGGTGTAATTATACTATTTGATGCAAAAATAGACCCAATTCGAAACATGCAAGTTATATGTTCCCTTTTTAGAGGCTTGACGAATTGTTTTCCCAAACCAAACGTAAATGAATACCATAAACATCTAAGATGTTATACCATCTAAACATAATGGGTACATTAACTTGGTGCTTCCTCCCAACTTCCCCTTAGGGTGAGCCTGATAGTTTTTTTTTTCTTTTCAGGAAGGTACTACAGGGACTTGACTAAAGAATACAAAAAATACTACCTTAAGCAAGAGTTTATGTAACGGTTTCCTTTAGTTGCTGCATCAAGTGCTGCAAGATAAACAGGCAAACATTAATACTAGTGCAGCTCAACTTTAGTACATTACTTAAAACATGTGAATAAGGTATTGATGAAATGTGAATGCATTTAAGAAAATAAAATGAGGAAAGGAGAGATCTGGAATCATATCACATAAAACTTGTCTTTCACTTTGGTAAGTGTCCTCCTATTACATAACACACTGGTAGCAGTTAGTACTCATCCATATCAAACATCTTATTTTAATTATGATCACATCTTTATATATCAAACTTTTTTCCCTGGAAAATCGAATCTAATCTCATTTCAACTTCACTCCTTAAATGGCTTAACTTCTTGTGCATACATTCCATCTTACTTATACTTGTGTCTTTTCTTTTTAATCTGGTAAAGTAAAATTTCATTAACAGTTGCATCCAGTAGATGCTAAAAATTACAAACTGGAACAAAAAAGTTAGCTCCCGGAAACAATGGACCTTCTATAAACCTCCTAGGTAACAAATTCAAAAGCTAAACAAAATTATTTGCACTGGTGGTGGTTACTCCAGATTTGTGAGCCATCTGTATTTCAGAATATGAATAGGAGAGGGGTTTCCTTCAAAGCCATCTGCTATTTATTTCTACCACAGGCACCAAAGAATAGAAGCTGGGAAAAGTTTGCCAATTTCCCAATAGACTTCCTTACATTCTGTTACTTCTACTTATCCTAAATCTCTTACTCTCCAAAGTAATTCTCCATAATTCAAGTTTTTGATTGACACCCTAACTAATTTGGCCTAGCCGTAAATAAGGAGACGACCCAAAAAAAAATAAAAATGCAGAGAATTGGTCAAGATAAATCCAGGCGTCTCATGCATAATGCAGCTGGGGTTAGCAGAACATAGATTAAACCTCTTGCAGTCACATCTAGGTTGAAGTTTGAATTAATGATCTCTGGCAAAGCCAAGTGTCCTCATCTTCTAGAACAAGGATTACTAACGCAACAAAGAGAGAAATGGAATAGTAGACAGGAATCTCTACTTATCCATCAATCCGTCCACTTGGCCTACAAATAAGGCTGGTACATCCATGGTACCAACTTATGACAGTTAAATTCTGAATAAACCTAAGAAGGTTTTCTTTTAATATATTGATGAGCTGCGCGTTTCCAAGAGAACTGATAGATAAGAGCGCATTACTATGTTAAATCTTGTGTTTATCTTAACTCAAAAAACAACAATTATCGGATCTAGCGTGAGGTTAAACACTGTCATGCTTAGTCTGTTGAATTAGCAATGAACGAACAACAAGCAGAATAAAAGAAAACCTATTGATGTAAGGACATCAACAACTGAAGATGAAGAGGTAAAAGTATATACCGCATTCTTGAACTCGTCCTGCTGCATCACCAAAGCAGATCATGTGATCAACAGAAGTACTAGTAACCTGCAAAATCACGCTAGCTCCTTTTAACAAGGCTAGAAAAACACACACACACACGTGAATAGAAAAAAGAAAGAAAAAATTTCTAATATCAGGTGTGGAATGCATGAAGTCCACTAAATTGTAATGCTTTTTGGCACTTTGCTGTTCATAATTACATGGTACTATGCCATCTATCCCTTAGAATTGCACTTTGCCATCTGGATTACCCCAAAACTCTCACTTAGTCATCGGATAACTTTTCAGCAGAAGTCGTTGAACGATTGTCATGTGACAGTCACATGCCATACTAAGGATAAATAGGTTAAATGGAACTAATTCTTCCCAATAAGATTGACACCTCAAGTATAATCCTCATCCAATCATTTCTTATTATAAAGTAAAATTTTATTAATCTTGTGGGAGAAGAACCCCGTATACAAGCAATCTATCAGAAAGAAGAAAACTTCTATGAAAGAGACCTAATCATTTATACAGACAGTAATCTCTCAGGCACACAAAAAATTAAACAAAAACAAAGACATGTCCTAATTGGTAAAATCGCATTCCACCCTTTCAAGTGTTCTTTCCTTTCCCTCCAAAGTACCATATAAGTGCCACTGGAGCAACATTCCTAGATCTCCATCAGATGCATGACAGTCACATGACCTGAAACCCAAGTGCAACATCCCAAGAGAAGATAGATAACAAAGTATAACTCTGGGCATAATAAACAACAAAGTACCAAACCATTTAAACTACAGGTGAAAAGTGTCAAATGTGATGCTTAGAAGTGATAGTATCAGATAATTCTCAAATGCAATGAATTGAAAAAACCTTGCTATCTACCCGGATGAAAACTGATTCCAGTTTAGGAATTTTACCAGCAAAATGCACAATCAAACAGCAGGCAAAGAGCCTACATCACCATGTAGCTTGTTGATCATCATAAGCACACTTACCTATCCAACTACTGATCCAGTTTAGAAATTTACAAGCAAAATGCACAATCAAACAGCAGGCAAAGAGCCTAGATCACCATGCAGCTCGTTGATCATAGTAAACATACTTTTCTATCCAACTACTACTTCTTCACTTAATGCCCAAACTAATAGAAAGTAAGCTATATCTATCCTCAATATCCACTCCAGTTCATTATAAATTGTGGATTCTCTAAATCTCACATTTATCCCTCCACTGACATACAATCATCTCAAACCAAATTAAAAAAAGACTCTTTTTATCAGTATCCAAATTAAAAAGAAACTTGTCAAACACTGAACCTGGTGTAGAACTAAAGATAATTACTTTCAGATAACACTATCTCAAAGCTACGCACTATTTGCAGCAGTGGCCTCAACACCACGGACTACTGAGATTATGAGGAAATGCTTGAATTAAGGACAGAAAGCAGAAACCTCTGATAAAGTTGATCGAAGAGAAGCAAAAAGTGAAGTGTAGCTATGGGCGATCGCCATAGAATCTCTCTCCACAACTTCGATTGCTTTCAGTATTTCTTTGCCATTTAAAGACGACGATGTTTGAGATTCCGCATTTTCGTGATCACCACATTCCCCTCTTTGTTGTGCTTCTTCTTCTCCATCTTGTTCTGCTCTGTTATCGTCGGAATTCAGCTGATTCTTCTCCTCCTTCTCTGGAACTAGGGTTTGGTTCGATTCCATTTTCAGATTATCAATTTCGGGTCGAATTGCGCCCCAATTTTCTGAAACATTGTTGGGCTTTTGTATTCTGAAAGCGAACAATAATGGGCCTCAACTTCAGCCCAGAACCTAAAGCCCACTTTCTTTTGTAGGCTGTCCTACATAGAGCTCATGGTCCACTTATCACAGTAACGAAATCAAAATTTTCGTTAGAAATGTTCAAGATTTAACATATATGTATGAACATAATTTTTTACCTATATACTTCGTATAATCTTCTATATACATAGTATAACTTTTCTGCGAAGGGTGTCCTGTCCGATTGACCACTTTGAGCTATATGTGGCTACCCCACTGACTTATCGATTCCGTTTTAATTTGTTTGTCCTGTTTTGATTTGATACGGAGTTTAAGAAAGTATGAAAATATTTTGAATATTGTGGTTTTAAGTTAAAGATATGTCAAATATACTAAACTGTCATTTAATCTCGTGATTTTAAACATGCCATTTTGTAGATAATTGAAATTAAAGAGTTACAAAAATAAAATAAAATATTCTTTTTGAAGCAGACTAAAAAAAAATGGATCAAACAAATTGAATCAAACGATGTAACTAGTATATCGGAATTTTAAATTTCTCTACTAACATATAAAGCCAAATATTTTTTAACTTATCAACAACAATAACATACTTAGTGTAAATTTCAGAAGTGAAAATGAAAAAAGTGGATGTCTATCAAATCTTACCTCTATCTTATAAAGATTTAGAGGTTATTTCTGATAAATTCTCGACTAACAAATGAAATAACAATATTCTCATTTCTTTTTGTTAAAAAAATGAGGTATTTCCATTTCTTTTTCTTAAAGAGCATATAATTGTAGAGATTCTTTGCTTTGGTAAATGGGATGGAACAAAGCCAAAAAATTAAAAAATAAACAAAAAAAAAAAAAAGGCAAATATTGTAAAGCCCATAAGGTATGCACGTTTTAGTGATCGTGCGTGACTGCAACTTCATAATATTAATATATTTTTAAAAATAATAATATTAAAGGTGTATTTATTATAAAATTAATTAAAAAAATTAAAATTATAAAATAAGATATAAGGGGGTGAACCCACTCCTAAAATGTACTGCCACGTGTAATACTATAAAAATGTCAAAATAAAAATATAACATAAGATAACAAATAGTATAAGGCGGGAATACAATTCCAAAAACAACATAATGTGGACCACACGTATTTTCAATTTTGAACTTTTGAAAAGGAAAGATAAATAAATACAAAAATTACGCACAATCATAAAAGGAAAATCTATCAAATTTTGACAGTAATTTATTTTGGGAGTGGGATTGGGCGATTTAAGGTAGAGAAAAATTTGTTCATATTTAACTAGAGTTTTGAATTCGATCCTTGATAAAGAAAGCATTATTTTTTAAGATTAGATTTTTTGAGTGAATGTTAATTAATCAGACTCAAAATGAGTAATTACATGAAACAAAAAAAAATAGCATGGGACTTGAAACTTTTTATTTGAAGATAAGAGATTTGTTGAATAACATCAAATAAATTTAATTTGTTAATTTATTTGCGTGTTCTAAAGTTTAATTATGTAACAATTTATAAGTTCGATTAGTATAACGATAACATGCAGAAGTCTGCAACATGTAACTTGTTATAGGTTAGTGTCTAAGGTTCAAGCGTTGCTAGCATGTCAACACATTGTTAAACTGATATAATTTGCAATGTTAAAATCAAAATTATCAATATAATCTATAGAATATTTAAATTAAACTACATGATAAATATTAAAAATATCTATATTGATAACTTTGATAGATAATTGATTAATCGCAAAACTCATATAAAGATAGAATAGATGATCAACTTATCATACTTACGAATATGAGAAAAAAAAAGGAGAAAAGCTTGAACACGAAAAGAAAAACTCGATTATAATATTTTATTTAATAAAAAATATTTTTATATTAAAATTTAGACTATTATTTTTTAGTTTAATTTTTTTTTTAATTCTAAAAATAGTAAACTAAAACCTGAAATTCAAAGACGAAACCCAAAAGAATTCCCAAGAAATAGGGGTCCTTTGCAATGTCATCATCGTCGCTTTGCTTGTAAAAAAAAAACCGGTATTTCAAGAACAACCAAAACCCAAAAAAGGGCTTTCAAATATCACAGATTCAATCTCTACTTTACAAAACTAAGTGAAATGATTCACCAATTTCTCGATCCAGTGGTTTAATTAGCTTCAAATTTTCAAGATCTCTTACATTTCAGCTCATTCTGGTTTGTAACTTACCAACATTATCAACTTTTTTCGGTATTTTTTTTGTTTATAAGGGGTTTACTTGATGTGGGGTTGTTCAAAATGTTTTTTTTTTTAGTTTTGGGTTGTTGGGAGTTCTTGATTTTTGGTGGTTTTTGGGTGTGAAGTTGTTAAAGTTTCTTGCTTTTTCATATTTTGGGTGGAATAATTGATAATGTACTTGAATTTTTTCATAATGGGGGGAAATGGGAAAATGGGTGTTGATTGTTTCAGCATTGTTGTGTAGTGTGTGTTTGTGTGAGAGGTTTCTTGATTAGGGGTATCAAGTTTTGTTCTTCAATAAAAAATCTTGTTTGTTTTATTTAAATCTGGTTGAGATTGTTGTCTGTTTGTATGTAGCTGCTCATTCTAGCGCAGTGTGTTTTGGGTGTTAATTGTTAAAGTTTCTTGCTTTTTCACATTTGGGATGGAAAAATGCACTTGAAAGTTTTCATTAAGGGGGCAAATAGCAAAATGGGTGTTGATTGTTTCAGCATTATTGTGCACTATGCGGCGTGTGTGTGAGGGAGTGAGGTTTCTTGATTAGGGGTATCAAGTTTTGTTCTTTTAACCAAAATCTGCTTTGTTTTAGTTAAATCTGTTCTTATGGAGCTGCCTATTCTAGCTTAGTGTTTATTTTGTTTTAGTTAAATGACTTAAATCTGTTCTTATGGAGCTGTCTGTTCTGAGTAGTATTATTCTTTTAATTTTTCCTTATCCTTTAAATGACTTCATATAGAGCTAAATGGATATTGAGGATTATAGCTGACCCCGACATGCTTGGGATTATGTCACAGTAATTGTTGTTACTTCTTTCACGGAAGGATAAATATAATATTTGGAAGATGTTTCGTTTAAGTTGTTTTCTACCACTCGGTTATGGTGTTAATTTACTAACGAAATCTAGTTGATTGAACTATAAATTAGCTCCCACGATAGTTGGGAATGATATGAAGACTAACTTTTGCTGAGAATGCATGTTTTTGTGAGCTTTGTTGGTTTGAATCCAACATTTCAAGCAGAAGGTTTCTATCAATAGTTTAATTTGCTTAATCCACATTAAACTTTTCTCCATATAAGAAAATAATTCTAAGATGGTAATGATGTACTGTTTTTCTTAGTCTTCAATTTGACATTACGTGCAAGAGCACAAGTATCATAAATATTTTGATTGTGGATACAAGATGGGTTTTTCAAACTAAAACCCACATTGCTAAAATTGGTAGCTTCACTATAATAACAATAAGAACTTCTTTCTGGGGTAAGTACAATAACCAAAAGAACTTTCTCTTGGGAAGTTAATAACCATAAGAATTTCTTTCTTTATTAGTGACGAATTGTCGATCTACTTATGTGATTGATTTTGAGATCCTTGGCAGTTGACATCCATAGTTCTTGATCCTTTAAAATGAGACAGAATAAGATTCTTGTGAAGATAGATAGACACTCATGAAGAAAGAAATATGATGTCTGATAGTGCTCATAACTCATTGTGAATCCTAATCCAAGACAAAAGATTTCCTGTCCAGATGGAAAATGTCAGACAATTGAACAAAGGAATCTGTTCTAATGGAATAATATGTATAATCACACAGTTCCATGTGCAAAGCATTGTTTGGTCATTCAATGTCAGTGGACAAATAAAGATATGCGTATGTTGTTTTTATTTGACGAAAATAACATTTGTCTAATCTCATTGTAGTTGTGTACTGTCATCTCTATTTGCCTTTCGTTGCTTTTGGCTGAAGAATAGGCTTTAATGTAGTCATGCTAGTATATTTCGTTCTAGTAGTTTGATCATCGCTTTTTCAGTTACCTAAAAGTGAAATGACTTATATAGTAACATATTCTTGTTTGTTTACTAGCAGTGCTCTCTGTAGTAATCCTGCAAAAGCATATATCAAGTTTATCATGAATCCAGAAGCCGCAACTGAAAATGGAGACTCAACCAGTTTAAACGAAATTCTTAACTTCAAAGGGGCTGCAGAAGGTAAACCACAACTGAAGTTTTTGGTATCCTCAGTCCTTTCCCTATATTATCCAACTATTGGAAAATTACTTTACTCTGTTTTAACAATGTAATATAGAATTTGACCATTGGGCAAAACTAAATCTCAGTTCCAGAAGATTTAAATTGTTCCTTCCCGTTTTTCCTTTTCTTTTCCTTCCCTTACTATCTCTTTAGTTAGTTGGCTGAACTGGAAATGTTAAAACAAGATGTAATAGTTTCACATCAGAGCTGCCCTCACTTGAGGATCTCAAATTCGGTCTAGTTTACCTATTCAGGTTTGTTTGAGCCCTTTTCCCAACTTTATAGCTGGTGTCTGTTAAATTTTCTAACAGTTATCATGTAGGAAATTTGAAGTCTATTTTGGCATTTCTGATTTCCTTAGTTCCTTTCATTAGACAGTTTCACCCTCATATATCTTTTCATTACTAACCATTGTTTTGTCCCTGTCACACCTTTGCCAGGCCGTCAAAAACAATTCCACAACTTAGTCTGCACTTTACCAATTCAAGAACTTTTATTACAACCAGATTGAGATTCATTACCTTTCCCCGGAATTTAAGGCCTAGTACTCCGTCTCTGCACAACATCCAACTATCTTTGAACAACTTTTTTTTTTTGCATGGAAGTTTGCATAAAATAGTGCATCAGAAATATCTCTGTGTTGTGTCATGCATGGATTCTTTTAAAGCATTAGTCAATGGTAATCTTTCTGCAGTAGATTTACTTCTGTCACTTACTTAGAGCTTTAATTTTCAGATAATCTTGCTGAGAGTAAATTGTTTGATGGAATCCAACCTAAGCACGGTTTGGCTGATATTCCAGCTGCTAAAATCTCAGAATTGATGAAACTAAACAGCTTAGAGGTAAAGCTGGAATGGGTCTTCATCTTGGTGTTAACTCACTTTCTTTTATATTGTTTGTGCCGTCTTCGGATTGCCTTAGTTGAACTGACTTTTATCTTCAGAGTGCTTCCACTCATTCACTTTTCAGTGTTGTGAGTAATATTTTGGATGACAGCATTGAGAGAAAGAATGGGGATATACCTCAGGTATGGCAGATAAACTGAAAAGGGTGACAGGAAACTGAACAAATTTATTTCTGCTGGATCCCATTTGGTACTTTATGTACTTACTGATATCCTTTTACTACTTGTTAAGTGTGTGGCCTCCCTGGTGAAGTTAGTCGTACAAGAGATTGAAGAACGAGTTTCAAAACAAGCTGATAATTTGAGAAAGGTACAAGTGTTCCAATTATCAGTACTGATTAATGAACTTCATGCAAAGGGCTTACAAATTGCGGATCTCTTGGGGTATTGCAGCAAAATGGGTTGTATAAGTCTCGTGAGGAGAGATATCAATCAAGAGTTAAAGCACTCGAAACCCTTGCATTGGGGACCACTGAGGAACATGAGGTACTATAAGTATCACTATTGATAAAAAAATGTTTATTTCTTCTTCTTTTTCTATCTATTCTTTTGTTGAACTCTCGTTTCATACAATCTTCCAGGTTATCATGAAGAAGCTTCAACAGATAAAGGTGCATATATAGATTTATCAATAAGTTACTAATTTCTGACTTGTAAGAGCATGCTTTTTTTTCTCTTCACAAAGTTCAGGTGCTGAATATATTGGATGTTCTTACTGAATATGTACTATGAGCCTATTTCATACTAAGTCTGTGGAAACACTGATAATATTGAGAGTTTTTGGGGGGTTTTGGCAATGTTCTGTTCTCCTGTATTACTTTTGGCACTAAAAACTACCTTAGTGATGTGTTAATACAATAGTATTTCATGGCTGCCAATGAGTTGGAATGTGGGAGATGCCTGCTTTAAGGTTAATGACTTCAATAGTCTTTCATAGCTTCCAATGAGTTGCCAAAGCTCTCTTGATTTTCTATTCTTGGTCACTTTGAGAGTTTCTCTACTGTTTCAGATATTCCTTCCCATATGAGTTTGGTCCATTGATTTGACAAGATTCTGGAATAAATTATCTGCATGATCGAATTATAGAAAAAACCTACTTGGGCTATCATGCTAACTGTTGCTGGCTTGTTTAATCATTTCTGTTAGCATTGCTAAAGTATTTAGTAGTACTCGTGTACTCTTTTATTGGTTTGAGGTTAAGAAACTTCTCAGTTCATTTACTGTATGACTATCTCTCAATCAACGTGCTCACAGTATATTTCTTTTATTATTTCCTACCTGGTGTCCAAAACCCACAAAGAGGCCCGACTACATCCAGATTTGCTCTGGAAGTCCCACACTTAGTAAAGGCACTCTATACCTAAGATTCGAACCCGAGACCTTTGGTTAAGGAGGAAGGAGTACTTACCACTCCACCCCAACGTTTCACTATATCAGTTACAAATAATGATGTATTTAGTACTCCTTTGCCTTTTACATGACTCAGTTGCTAATGCGGAGTCAAATAGTTTTATTATGATTCTCTTTAACAATTTGTATTAATAATTTGATTTTAGAATGTGTGATAGTACTTACTACATTAGGTTCTAGATATAATGAGTTTGGTGAACACAATGAATGTCTAGAGGAAATAAACCCAAACATTAGATCAAACTTAGAGGCTCAAACTTTGTCATTTTTTTTTTGCAATGGGGGATTAATTCACCGATGCATTATATGATAGAACTTTTCTCCCCTGTTTCACTTGTTTATTGTTGTGACAGTTAATTAGCATGCCTGATACAGCAACACGTTGAATTGACAATGTAGCAATGTTGTCATGTGGTTCTGTTTTACTGTAGATGTAGTCCAACTAACTTCTCTTTTATAGATAGAGAAGGCCAAAATGGAAGAGAAAGAAAAACTTCAAGAACAAGATTTAATCAGGTTAATGGAAGATAATGATCACTATAAGATGCAAATATCCTCATTGGATACTGAGCTTGAATCATCCAAACACGCACATGAAAAAGATCGATTACAACTGGAAGCACAACTGGAGCAAACTCGAGTTGAGTCAGAGAACAAGATACTGGAACTTCAATGTCTACTGAATGAATCAACCAAGAAAGTACAAGAACTTGAGGCCTTTTCAGAATCCAAGTTGGTGAAATTGAAAAGGAGAGAGCTTGGTTACAAACACTTCATAGACTCTCATTTTGGATCTCTGCAGGTTTGCATCTGAATTTACTTTTAACAGCTCATACTACAAGTTATTAGGAATGTGACATTCTTAAAAACTCAGGAATTGAGGATATCATCCGAGTCTATAAGGCAGGAGGTGATGAGGACCAAGGAGATTTACGTCGAGGAACTTAGCCACTTTGGTCAGGACGAGAGCTGAATGCTATGATTACATCTGTACTTCTTCATCCGTAAATCTTATCTCTAAGCACGTATTCTTGATTAACAGGGTTCAATCTTAAGGGGTTGGTTGATGCTGCTCAGAATTATCACACAGTTCTTGAAGAAAATAGGAAGTTGTACAACCAAGTTCAAGATTTGAAAGGTTAGTCAGATGGAATGTGATAAACATAGTTATTTAAGTGCAGCATGGTGTTTCCCTAACATAATGTCATTTTTGTGATAGGTAACATTAGAGTTTACTGTAGGATAAGGCCATTCCTTCCTGGTCAAAGCCAAAAATTGACAACCATAGAGTACATTGGTGAGAATGGTGAACTGGTTGTTACTAATCCTTCAAAACTGGGGAAAGATAGTCACCGTCTTTTCAAATTCAACAAGGTCTTTGCACCTGCTGTTACTCAAGGTTTGATAATTTTGTTTATCAGCTTGATATTCAGATTAAGTACCTAATATAGAAACATCCTTTACTTTCATCTTGAAGGAGAATAAAAGAAAGACATTACCTTTTTAAAAAGCTTGCCGTTTTCTAACTCTAGCATATTTCAGAGGAGGTGTTTCGAGACACTCAGCCATTAATCAGGTCTGTTTTGGATGGGTACAATGTCTGCATCTTTGCTTATGGTCAGACTGGTTCCGGAAAAACATATACCATGGTATGCCCATCTTTAGAAAATTTGTTTAGTAGATACCAATGGCTATTCACTTCTACTTATCCTAGTCCATTTTGATCGCCTTCAGAGTGGGCCCAGCATGTCATCCGTGGAGAATTGGGGGGTCAACTACCGAGCTCTGAATGATCTATTCAACATCTCCCAGAGTAGGAAAAGTTCCATTGCATATGAAGTTGGTGTTCAAATGGTTGAGATATACAATGAGCAAGTGCGAGACTTGCTCTGCAGTGATACTTCTCAGAAACGATATCCTTGTTAAAAAAAAATCTATTTGTGTTTTTGATACATTGGCTGTTTTCATTTACTTTGTTCATGTTATACATATTTATTTCCGTGGATCATTAGTGCTATATTTTTAAGTTTTCATTTTCAATAGTTAGTGGAAATGTCAGAAATATGTATGCCATATATTTCCTGATGTTTTCTTTAACTTGCGCACACTTGGGATTTGGAGTACTACTCAACCCAATGGATTAGCTGTCCCTGATGCTAGCATGCATCCAGTCAAATCAACTGCAAATGTCTTAGAATTAATGAATATTGGCCTAATGAATAGAGCTGTTGGCGCTACTGCTTTAAATGAAAGAAGCAGTCGGTCACATAGGTCATCTCTTAAACTATCACTTTTTATCTCAATTCTGAACTTTTTTTCTGTTTGTGCATCATGCTTATTTAATTCATTATGATGCAGTATCCTCACCGTTCACGTGCGTGGTATAGACTTGGAAACAAATGATATTCTACGAGGTTGCCTACATTTGGTAGATTTGGCTGGCAGTGAAAGAGTAGATCGCTCTGAAGCCACAGGGGATCGTTTGCGAGAAGCACAACATATAAACAAATCATTATCTGCTCTTGGGGATGTGATATTTGCATTGGCACAAAAAAGTTCTCATGTGCCATATAGAAATAGCAAACTAACACAAGTTCTTCAAAGCTCTCTTGGTAGTTAAAAACATTTTCTGTGTTGATTCAAATTTAAATATATTGTTTTACTCTGTAAATGAGTTTTACTTCTCTTTCCTATTAAGCCTTTATTTATTTTATTTCACTCATCTCATGTTACAGGAGGCCAGGCAAAGACACTTATGTTTGTACAGCTCAATCCTGACGTAGAATCCTACTCAGAAACCATTAGCACCCTGAAGTTTGCTGAGAGGGTGTCTGGAGTGGAGTTGGGTGCAGCTCGGAATAATAAAGAGGGCCGGGGTGTTAAAGAGCTTATGGATCAGGTACCTCACAACACGTTCTAGTAAATATCAATAACTCAGTAGATAATGTTCTTCTAGTTGCTCTTACTTTTTCTCATTGCCTGCATCTACATCTGTACTGTCTACTTATTTTTTGTGAATCCGATATCACACTTGTGCATCTATGATTAAGACCCGTTTTAATACTATCTTGTACGCTTAGCTCTTCTCTAGAGTACACTAGATTTATGATGGTTGCAATGTTCCTATTTTCTTTGCTATGGTCATGTACAAAGTATTGCTGGTAAATTTTCAGGTAGCTAATTTAAAGGACACAATTGCCAAGAAGGATGAAGAAATTGGGCGGCTGCGGGTTCCCAAAACCAGTGGCAATGGTGAGAGGCGTAGTGTGAGCTCAACCAGGCATAGCTCTGCCTCTCCAAGAAGGCAATCTTTAGGCGGTCCACGAACAAACCAAATTTCTGGAGAGATAAGCTCAAAACCTACTCAGAAAGCTGCTTCTGACGTGGACAATAGTTCTGAATACAGCGACAGACAATCTGACACTGGTTCTCAGCAATCACTGGATGACTTTAGGCATCACAGAGATTTCTTTAGACAATCCAGGCTTGCTGTAGTAGATGCTGATCTAAATCTGGGTGAAGACACTGATTCAAGGGCTACTGCGAGAGGAAGTCAAAATCCTAACGAAGACGTGGTGCTCATCGGGTTTGATGATGCAGATTCTGAAGAGAGATTAAGTGACATATCCGATGGTGTACTTTCAATGGGAACTGAGACTGATGGTTCAATCAATAGTATTGTAGAGTACACTCTTTTCCCAGAAACTACAAAGCCACCTTCAGAGACCCCTGAGAAGTGAGTATTCTACAAATATGACATCTCTGATTATCATTTTGTCCAGTCTTGCCTTACAATTAGATAACTTTTTTCTTGAATGTTGATTCACTTATGGAATCTCTAATTCCCATTCCCCGTGATGACCTCAGGTTGATATATCAGCATATCTTGTATCTTTGTGTTAAAAATTTGCTTTACCTGCCTTTGTATTAACATTTCTCCTTATTTCTTTTTCCTTTTCTCATGTCTTGATCCATATTTTGTCTTCACAGAAAATCAACATCAGGTTACATTCTGAATGAGCATTTCTTATAGTTTAAAGTCACAATTCCTGTTTCCAGTTTAAATGTACTTCATGACTATTAGATCACATCTCTTCTTAGTACAGTATTTTGTCGAAGATAGCTTATAGTTGTTTGGGAAAAGCAGAATGCTAAGTTTTCCTGCTGAACTTGTTGTTAAAGACACCCAAGGCACTCATGAAATTTAAAATGACTTACTTATCTCTTTGCTGGTGAATGATTCAGGCCCTCTATACCTGCTAAACTTCCACGGCTCACACAAAAGACGGTGCAAACAGGATCTTCTCGGATGTCACTGCAGAAGAGCACCCCTAAAGTCCCGAGTATGCGATTCTCATATGTTCTTGGTTTTTGCCTTTATTTTCCTTCTTTGTTAATGCTCTCAAGTTAGAGAAGAGAAATGACGATCATTCCAACTTTTTCTTTTTCCTTTTCCTTTTTATGCTTCTCAGGTTCTAAAAAACCTCCTTCCGGAAACACTTCTGCAGTTAGGTCTTCCAAAAGATGGCAATAGTACAGAAGTAAAATTGTGGAAGAGGATAGACACTTGACGATCCTTCTTTGTAGATTAGACTGTAGACACGATTGTTGTGTCATCTTCCATTGTTGTGGAAGATGTGTAGGAACTTCAGCTTGTAGCAAACTGCACTGATCAGATTGAATTTCTTAGGTGTATTTGCTCCCCGCCTCCCCCTACTCGAAGTGGAGGAGGAAAGGAGGGCGGCGTGGGGTTTGACATTGTGTAGTGTGTACATGTAGCTCTATTTAAGAACTTGCTGATGCTTTTTTAGGCTATGAAATAGTGTTGACTGGTAACTTCTGTTTGATTATGATGCTTACTGTGAAAGGAAGATCATGCTTGACTTTGATTATTGTTTTGAGCACTTGCTAAAGAGCTGGAAAAGAAATCACTCATATCCAAACTGGCTTTCTTGTGGTTGCTCTCTTTATGCCTAAGCCTCAGTAGAGTAGGTAGAGTTACTCTATATCTGTATTGATGAGAAATAGCATGCATTAAAAAAAGAAAAAAATGACAAATATACCCCTGAACTATCGTAAATGGTATGTAGATATCCTTCGTTATACTTTTGAGACATTGGTGCCCCTGCCATTCAAAAATCAGAGCATATATGCCCTTTACTCTAACGGAAGACTAAATAGGGACACATGACACAATCTTATCCGTCGATCCAATATTTAATAAATGTTGGTTGGTGGATAGGATTATGACACGTGTATGTCCGTTTGTATAACTGGTATATATACTCTAGTTTTTGGACGGCAGGGACACCAATGTCCAAAAGTATGACATAGGGTATCTACATACCATTTACGATAGTTCAGAGGTATATTTGTCCGTTTTCCCTTAAAAAGCAAACTAGCTCGAACACGACTATTATATAAAAGGGAAAAAAGACAAATATACCCTCGAACTATCGTAAATGGTATGCAGATATCCTTCGTCATACTTTTGGGACTGGTGTCCCTGCAGTCCAAAAACTAGAGCATATATGCCCTTTATACTAACGGACATACACGTGTTATAATCTTATCCACCGATCGACATTTATTAGATATCGGATCGACGGATAAGATTGCGCCACGTGTCCCTATTTAGTCTTCCGTTAGAGTGAAGGACATATATGTTATAGTTTTTGGATGACAGAGGCACCAATGTCCCAAAAATATGACACAGGTATCTGCATATCATTTACGATAGTTTATGGGTATATTTGTCCTTTTTCCCTTATATAAAATGCTCTGAATGCCCATACTATCATGGATAGGTCTTCCACTATGTAATACTTTCCTTATTTTTACTATGTCCTCTTTGATTTTGTATTTTTCTTTTCTACTGGCTTTGATATGCATAGATTAAAATTAAGAGAGGAGAAATTGTGCAAATTGGAAAATTAAATTACTCTACTTAATATACTCAATTAAGTATAGATATCTCAAAAAATGATTGACTTAGTATGGATTTTGAAAGAAGTTTTGAAACAAGTAAAATCAAAACTTAAGATCAACAATATTTCAAAATGATAATAATTAATTTAATAAATTGACTTTAATATAAAGATAGACTAATTACAAAAAAATAATTGGCAACTTGACATTTCAAAAAGTTAGGGGGAAAACTTCAAATAAAATAAATACGTATCTACACTAATATAAAAATACGAAACTCTAATGAAATGTTAGCTCAATTTTTTTTAATATATAAGTACTTTCCATGATGAATAAAATTATATAAAAATTAATCATTAAAAAATTAATTATCTGAAATTATTTATTTTAATACAAAATTATTTTCTTTGGTTATTTCTCAAATTACAAGTTATTACTACTTAGTGCTTACTATGGAAATGAACGAATTGATGATAACAATGCTTTATTAAGCAATCAAGTCTGGGTGGTGTAGTCGGTTATCACGCTAGTCTCACACACTAGAGGTCCCCGGTTCGAACCCGGGCTCAGACATCTTTTTTTAAGTTCGATAAATGTCGTTTTTTATTATTTTGATGAGAATCACATAACTAATATCAAAAGCTCAAGTTCGATAACTGTTGTTTTTTAGTTTGATGAGAATCACATAACTAATATCGAGAAAAATCCTACTAAGATATGAAGTTCGATAAGTGTTGTTTTTTAGTTCGATGAGAATCACATAACTAATATTAGAAGCTCCTACTAAGATGAGAAGTTCCACAAGTAATTTTTTTTTTTTAAGTTTGATAAATGTCATTTTTTAGTTTGATGAGAATCACATAACTAAAGTCTAAAGCTCCTACTAAGATGAAAATTCGATAAATGCCGTTTTTTAAGATCAAAAGCTTCTATTAAGATGAGAATCGCGAAAAAAGAACGTAAACATTCAAGTAGAAACGAGGAAATATGAACATATCATAAGCTTATAAACACTCTAATCCTATGTCAAAACTCATACATGATTGATGAGAATCACATAACTAAAGTCGAAAGCTCCTACTAAGATGAGAAGTTCGATAAATGTCGTTTCTTAGTTCAATGAGAGTCACATAACTAAAATCGAAAGCTCCTACTAAGATGAGAAGTTCAATAAACAACATAAACTTTCAAGTATAAAGGAGGAAATATGAACATATAATTCTATGTCAAAACTCATACATGATTGATGCAACCTTTTTGTTCTTGCTCTTCTATGTTCTTACATATCTCCAATCCCTTTGTTTCTGGCAGAAAAACAACCAAACACCCTGCAGTTGCTGTCATAATGCCAAGAATCAAATAAGCTAAAATCTTGTTGTTACTATCTCCTCCTGCATCAACCAAAACCGGGCTCACCACGCCCCCGAGCACCACAGCCTGCCAGACAATTGACACTGCTGCATTCCTTATACTAGTAGGGAACATCTCTGAAGTATATATCAGCAACAGATCAAATGCAGTACAAGCACTGAAAAATGAAGTTAACTCCAACACCATCTGTAAAACCTTTCGTTCACTCGCGATCATACATGACATACCACAAACACCAGATAGAACACTTAGTCCAACTAGTGTACTTCTCCTCTTGCATTTTTCAACCAAGAAAAAGACTATCAAGAATGATGGTAACTCTAGTAACGCGTTTAGTCCTGTACTCAAGTAGAGATTTAAGCTAAAGTTTCCATTTCCTAGTCCTAATGGCATGCCATAGTACATCAATCCAATGCCAAAACCAGCTGCTACAGCTAGTAATAACTGTCTAAGAATCGATTTTTTCCTCAACAAAATCTTGATCAGAGGTGGATCAGAACCACTCATAGTAGTAAAACTCAACTTGTTATGATCAAGATTCGAACTTTCCTTCTTCAAATGAGATGTGTTGAGAACTGCATAAGCCTCTATAACTTTCCCTTTTGACAGAAGCCATATTGGAGATTCATAAACACAAAATTGTATCAACAAACAATAAACTATAGCAGGAAGAGACGTCGAAAGATAAAGTACCCTCCATGAGTAATCCTTACTAAAATAAGCCAAACATGGTAATGACACAAATCCAAATGTAGACATAAAGAACCCTATAGTTCCAACTTTCCCTTGATATCTTTTACCAACACTCTCAGAACACAACACAAGTACAGAGGAACCAATCGCAGCGCGACCATATCCACTTAGAAATCTCAAGGCAGAGTACATCCAAACATTGTTACAGAAAGCAATGAAGATTGAAGCTATAGACATAATCAAACACCCGAAAAACAACATGGTTTTTCGACCAATCGAGTCACCTAACACACCAAGAACAAGGCCACCAAGCAAACATCCCATGAAAAAAGATGAAGCAGGAAGACCTTGTAATATAGAACTAGTAAAACAATGAAGTGACCATTCAGACACAATGGATGTGTAAATAGGCTTATCCCAATTCCATTCTGTTAAAGAAAGTTGACACACATTAGACATTGAATTACAACTTGTGTTAGTACTAACACAATGCCATGAAGGGATTGCATCAGTAAAAATTGTGATAAATGTTTGTTGAGCTTCAAAGAAACAAGCTAGAGAAACAAGTATGACTTGCAAGATTTGTGGCCATGCAATTTTTCCATTACAAGTATCAAAAAATGTCTCTATGATTTGTTCAAGTGAAGAAAAATGATCATTTAGATTTGGGAATTCTTGATCTTGATGATTTGAGAGTAAAGGAGTTGTTGAATTAGCCATTAGAATTTGGGATGTGGATATTGACTTCTTCCTTCTAGTCATATTTATACAAGTAGTAACACATTATTCCCGAGTCGAGGGTAACGTCTGCGTTCACTCTACTTTTCATACTCCACTTGTGGATAACACGTTTCCACCTCTCCCCAGACTCCACTTATAGAATTACATGAGATATGTTATTGTACATTATTTCGATTTCTGCAAAATAATTATGTTATGAGTGGCTTGATTGTTATGAAAAATTCATTGTATTGTTTATTGCATTATTTCTAAATATAAAAGAAATGTCTATTTTCCTTATAGATACTAGCCTAAAATGAAAATAATATTTTATAATTAATATAGATTCTAAACTTGGAAGAAAAACAAATTTTCTTTAGAATATTCCTAAACTAAAAAATATTTCTATTTTTAATAATTAATGTAGATCATAGTCCAAAAGGATTATTATAAAATATTTTTAACGTTAATTATGTATATGTCTTTTATAACGTTAATACATAGAACTTAAACTCGTTTTCACGAAGAAGCCATCAAATTGTCGACTTTAATTTATTATGCATATCAATTTGTTCATGCTTCTCATGACCATTAAACAAAGGGAATTTCTTCCAGAAAACAAATTTAGTCAAAGATTTTTGGTGAATTTTTTCTGAATTATAATTATTAATTACTTTATACTTTTCAGTGGGAATGAAAAAAGTAAAAGTTAAAAATTCAAATGTATTTGCATTAGGCACATAAACAAATCTATTCATGCTTCACAAGCCAATAATTTCATTAATTTATTCTAATTAGAATGGAATTTAAAATATTCAGAGAACATAGGGACATTGGATAAAAAAGTCAACTAAGAACAAAATTACTAAAATAGATTGTAGTGGGTGATAAATAATCCATTATTTTTAATCAAAGATTTCATATAAGTAAAACGTTATCCTTTAAATTGAATTCAACATAAATTTAAATTAGTTGAGCTTAAAATGGATAACAAAAGCTAACGTGAAATCAAAAGCAAAAACTAAGAAGTACTACGTAATAAAAAGTATGACCTTCGGAATGGCTCAGTTGGTTTGGAGGGTGATTATCCACACGAATGACCCGGGATCGATTCCCCCCTCAATGCCTTTTGAGTCGAGCATGTCGCATAGGGCATGCCTAGTGCGGTTTACATCTCCTGTGGGGGGTTTACCCAATGCGCACAAAGTGCTCACCCGAAGGGCAGAGGCTGTGGTAGAGGTTGTAGCGGCTGCGGGTTATCCTTGGTTTATCCAAAAAAAAAAAAAAAAGTATGACCTCATTGAGGTCGCTGAAGAAACTTGGCTTTATGATAAGTCGATATGCCTAATACCTAAAATTGGCCTTTAACTTGATTTCAACTGATATTTACACTCTCCAAATTTGAATGTGCACAGGTAGATACTTAAACTTATAGAAACTTGATCAAATAGATGCACATGTCATATATCACAATTCGCGTCCTACATGATTATGCCACATAGGACGTGTGTATTTACTTATTCAACTTTATATACAAATTTAAGTGTTTATTTGTATGCACCTAAAATTGAAAGACATAAATTTGAGCTAATATCAACTAAACGACATGTTAATAATTATGTCAAATCAATATATGATAAGATCAATCAATCTGAAAAGAAATTAGATTATGATAATCTGATCCATTTGCTGTTAAAGAATAATGAAGATTCATATGAACTTGTTAAGATCCGGATTAAGAAATTAATTAATCCTCCACATGGTAGGGTTATAACATCCTCCAAATTAATGCAACCCATTCTTAAAGACATAATTATAAAAAAAAAATACAGATCAATAATGTTTACAATGTTTAATGGTCATGAAAACATTTATTTTTGGAGACACTCGTACACACTAGTATTATTTTTATAAAAATATATTATGTGAATTATTAGCAAGAAAATCTGGTCAATGTGAATAGAATGGAAATTCATTAATCATTATATGCACTTCAATAAATTATTAATTAATTAGGAGGGGTGTATGACTATTTTATTGTTATTTATGTCTTAAGATATGATTTATTTTCTTCGTTCATTTTTATTAGTCTAGTATTGACTTAGCATACTTCTTAATAAGCAATAAATATAATGAAAATTTTACCATATCGCTCTTTGAATATAATAATTCAATATTAGACTTTTTTTTAAAACTAATTTTACTCTTAAAAACACTTTTTAAAAAGAGATTAGTCAAACACAATTTGCTTATAAAAAGCACTTTTCAAATGAATTAGCCAAACACAAATTGCTTTTTTTCAAAAACATTTTTGTAAAAAGTCATTTTAAAAAAGCGCTTATAAAAATAAGTTGTTTTTAGTAGCAATGCCATACAGGCTCTAAAACATGACTATAGTTAATAATAAGGACAAATTAAAAATTAAATGATAAATTATCTCTAATTAGTTAACTAAACTAGACATGTATTACTATATATAATAAGTGGGAATATCTACTACTTAGCACATGACAAGTGTTTGATGATATGTGCTTAGATAGTGTTGTACATTCTTCTTTTATGGTTGTACCTTTAAAATTTATATTATTTGACAATTTAACACCATTAATTACCTACTACTTTATTAGCCCAAAAGTTTGACCTCATTTGGGCCCATTTATTATTTATATGTTTTCAATTTTCAATATATGTCGTCTATCAAATTCTTTTTTTCAACCTTTTATTTCAAACTTCTTGAAATTTAATTACCTATTTATTACTCTCTCTATGCACTTTTAATTGTTATGATTTCCTTTTTAGAGTCAAACTATAAGAATTTTAACTAATATTTTACAATGTGTTTTTTCATCATATTCATTGGCAAAAAATTACAATTTATAGTACTTTTGTATAGATTTTGCATATTTAAATTTTTTGTTTAAAATATCGAATTAATACAATCTGATTTAACTTTAAAAATTAGTCAAATGGACTTTCAAAAAACGCAACATGACAAATACAAGTGGACGGAGAGAGTATAGTTTAGCTACAAAATATATTAGAGGTACAACTTTTTAAAAAAATTAAATTTTTATTGCGTTGACTCTTGAAATCTTATCATTGTCATATGAATTTGAACAAATTATATATTATTAAAAGTTACATAAAAGATGCTATAAATCACAATAATTAGCAATTAAAAATATTTTTAAATCATATAAGAAATTTGGTTGACTAATTGGAATAGAATAAGTAACGTGTACTATTGGAAAATAACGTCAAAATTTCTAGAATTCACAATAAATTAACAACTGAAAATATTTATGATTATTCACGTGAATTGAAACATGAGTAACCTATATTATTCAAAACTAACGCAAAAATACTATAAATCACAACAATTTAATAACTTCAAATATATTTTTAAGAAAACATTTTAAAAATTGATTGATCTTCAAATTTCATTTATATCACATAAATTAAAACAAAAAAAATAATATTTATTGGGCCCGTGCTGGCACGGGCACCAAATATATATATATATATATATATGTCACAAATGGAAAAGTCTCAATCAAGGAAGCAACATATATCATTTACAAATGACTTAAAAAGCATTAAAAATTACAATAATTACCTATTTAAAAGCTATATAATAAAATACGTTGACTCTCAGAATTCTATCAGGCTCACATATATTGGGACAGAAAAAATAACACATATCATTTTAAAATTACCAAAAAAGTATTATAAATAATAATAATTAACAACTTAAAATATCTGAAAGACATTTTAAATGGGTTAATTTTGTAATTTTATCCATATCACATAAATTAGGACAAAATGACCAGTAATGTACGTTATTTGAAAGTTACATAAAAATATTATAAATCACAATAATTAATAACTTAAAATATATTTTTTTTAAAATGAAAATTTGGATGACTCTCCAAATTTCATTCGTGTCACATAAATTGAGACAACAAAAATAACATATATTTGATCCATTTTAATTTATTTGTCTTATTTTTTTTTTGTTTTTTTTATATTTAAAAATTGTGTAAAAATACTATAATGATAATTGACAATATAAAATATGTTTTGAAAAAAATACAAAAAATCCCACTGATTTTTGAACTGAATCTATCGTAAAAATACTATAAATCATGATAATTAACAACATAAAATATTTCAAAAATGTTGTAAGTGGGTAGTCTTATTATGCCTTAAATAGCGTCAAAGAAAGTACAAGTTTATGATAAAAAAACTTATTTCTTTATCCACGCAAACAATCGCTTCAAAAACTCTGTTATTAGCCCCAAAATATACCATTTATATTATTGGGCTGTGCATAGCACGGACAACATTATCTAGTTTTTAATATATAATAGAAAGTAAAAGTGGACGGTAGAATATGTTCATTGAATATTCACTGTATTTATGTACCATAATTGAGGGATTCATAAAGTGAAAGCTTGCGTCTAGTGTATTTGTGATAAGAAAGTATCACCAGAATGTAATGTAAGTTTTATAAAGTGATTGCTATATTAAGTATATTATATGAGGCGTTGAATGTTGATCGATCATGAATTTGGACATCCAAAAGATGAAATAATGAAATAAGGAAGTTGAGATGAATATATGGACGTATTTGGAGAGATAAGATTAGGAACTCTGATATTCTAGGCAAGGTGAGAGTAACCTATGTGATAGACAAAATGAGACAGAGATGGTTCGAACATGTAAAGAGAAAATCCACATATATGCACCAGAAAAGGAGGCGTGAGAAATTGACGATGATGGATCATAGGAGCGGTAAATGTATTTAAAAAGTAATTGAAAGAGATGATGATACATGACATGATACACTTACAACTTATTGAGAATATGACACTAGATATAAGAATATAAAAATCAAGAATCACAGTAGAAAACTAGTAGTTAGTGAGACGTTATCTAAATTTCTCTATCCCTAGTATTAACTAATTTTCTCCTACTATCTTATACTTCAATTTTATTGTTACTCATTTTTTTCTTTTACTTCGATTTTCATACTGTTTATTGTTATTAATATTTATTTTCTCCACTATTTATATTTATTCAATAAATGTATAATATGCATTTGTGTAGTAAACTTTAATTTTAAAGTTTTTTAATCTTATTAAATTATTTAACAGTGTTCCTATCTACAGAAACTCTCGATTTCTCTTTTTCAATCCTCCAAAGTTGCAGTTTTTAGAGAGATTTTAGCTCAAGAACTCATCTCAACCAGTGGTACAACTCAAAAAGGTTATCAAGATTACTTTTTTTTGAGTTCTGTGTTGAAATTATTAGCTTTGGTAGGTTTTTTTTTGTATTTAATTGAGTTCTGTGTTGATTTTCTGGGACTTTCTTGAATTTGGGTATATGAAAAATTCATTTTTTTCTCTGAATTCTGTGTAAACCCAAATTTGTAGGGTTTATGGTATGATAAAACCCTTAATGCAATTCCATTTTTATGCAGATATGTCTGTTGTAAATCAACAATTTTTCAACCCCATATGGAAGCCTTGTGTTTCTTCATGTCCATTGTTAGCTGCCCAGTTACTTGTAATGCCAATGAGTAATAGAGAACTTTCTGTTGTTTCCACCATTGCTGCTGCAAAATCTACAGCTTCGATTGGTGAAGGAAATGATGATTATGTTGATATTAGTAGTGGGAGAGCAGCAGCCAAAGGGTCAGGTACTACGGCGAGAGGAAGGAGGTTGTTGAAGGTTAGGGAGGAGAAGAGGAAGCGGGAGTATGAACGTCTTCACAATTACCCAGCTTGGGCAAAGTATATCTCTAACTACTTTACTTATTTGATGCTATGTTGTATGTTTATATGTAATTGTTCTGTCCCGTGCAAATGGTTTACCTGTAACTAGTTGATACCCCTATGAAAAAATTGATCACATAGGAATGCTTCTGAGGTAGAATACACTTTGAATTTTGATAAATGCATTGCTTGTGAAGTATGTGTGCTTGAATGCCTTATAGATTTACCCGTTATTTGATGTTATATGTATTCGTTGTGTTAAAATGGTATTTGATACTTCATGATTACCATATCTCACACAAATCGTTTACCTGTAACTCTTTAGTATCTCTAAGAAAAATTAATCACATAGGAAAGCTTCCGAGGCCGAATACTTTGAATTTGAGAAATGCATTGCTTGTGAAGTATGTGTGTGTGTATGACATATTGATTTACCCTTTGTTGATTGGAAGTTGGAACCCAGACAAGCTAGAGTGCTAGAGTCCATGCAACGTTATTGCCATTAGGATGCCAACATTGCTTTGATCTTCACTTTTACTTCATCTGTGTCCTTGAGATTGACTTGATGTTAAAAATGTTATTTTTAGAGTGTTGGAAGATGCCTGTAAACATGATACAGAGCTTCGTGCTGTTCTTGGTGATAGTATTGGCAATCCAGAGCTTATGAGGAAAAAGGTAGGTGTAATTTTTATTTGGGATTTTGAGTTAGGTTTGACAGACATCCATTTGCAGATATTCCACATTTTCATTGATTTCAGTTCACTTTAGATTTTGAATTATGACTTCCAATTGAAATCTGCTTGTTTCCTTTTCTCCATTTTGATAGGTCGAAGAGAGAGTTCGAACAAAGGGCCAAAATTTTCAGAAGTCTAAAACAGGATCAGTGCTTTCATTCAAAGTCAGCTTTAGAGAGTAATTAAATTCTGACCACACTTCATGCTTCTTCTGTTTTCTAACTCCAATTTTTCTTTTTCTATCACTATCTCCTAGATATATGAATAGCATCCTTCAAAACATAATCAAGTGAAGTTTTAAAAGTTCCTTGGTAAAATGTGATTTTTCTATTTGAGCTCTAGCTGTTTGTTCTGTTTAACTAGAGTAAATAAATTTAAAGCAGGAAAGTGGGGAAGAATAACCAGGCTAGGTCGTATTCTTCTTCTTCATCTTCCGGAGTTCGCTTCTTGTGTAGTCAGACTTGTGGCTGAGCTGCTAGAGCTTTTCCAGGGTTATTTTGTTTTAAAATAGAGGGTTCTTGTCAAACTTTTGTTTGTTGGATGGGCTAACACTTTCTTTAAAATCTCTATTTGGCCTATCAGGGTTCAGGTGTCTAGTTTCAGCACAAACTTTAAAAGACAGTTCAGGAAAGGTCTGGATGTGTCTGTCATGTTTGTTTGACTTGACAATTATTCAATATGATACCTCCTATTTGTTGTTCACACATCATATATTTATTGATATTAGTAAGTTGCATATTGTTTGCTGATCTTTATAGGTTTTATTGTTTTAATGCAATAAATGTGTTTGGTATGAAAGAAAATATTTTCCTTGAAAAATGTTTTCTCGTTTTTAGTTGGTGATGAAATATATTTTGTGGAAAATTTCCTTCAAATTCCTTGCTATTTTGTTTAGATGCATATCACTTACTGCATCTTATTTGAATTGACAGTTTTAATCCTCTTGATTCATACATATGGTTTGAACTCTATGGCTCACCATCTGATCGAGACGTTAACATTTTCGGTAGTGTATGTTTACTGCTTTCTTCTCTGTTCTCATATTACATTACTTCACGCTTTTTTAGTATATTTGGGTTTGATATCTCAAAATATCTTGTGCTTCTATTGGCAGGTTATCCAGGCATGGTATGTCATGGGACGTTTAGGTGCATTTAACTCATCTAATTTGCAGGTGAATTCACCGCTCAACATAGATTTTATTTAGGTTTTCTTTTTTCTTTTGCTGCTGTTAAGTGTTGTTCTTCCTATCACTCTACTTCAGCAATTAACTAAAAATTAAGTTAAGTACTTACAATCACATGTGTTTTAAAGTTTTCCTACCTTAAATCAAGATGGTGTCCAGTCAGGTTGTAATTGTAGTAAGTTGTTGGTTCTATTCATGATCAATTCATTCATTCATCCCCCATTTCTTAATTATACTTTGCGAAGAATAGAAAGTTCCTCAACATGATCAGAAAAAGGTTCAAGTTTGTGTTAAATGAATGCAGCTGGGGGGTTCATCAATGGAATTCAATCCTCTTTATGATGCAGAAAAAGGTTTCAACGTGATGCCTTCATCATTCCATGACATAAGTAATGTTGAATTCCAGGACAACTGGTCAAGAGTTTGGTATGCATTTCTTTGCACCATTTTTCTTCTTTTCCGATTAAACATATTTCAATAATGATTCCTTGTAATTTGTAACACTACTCGTGTATGGCAAAACTTGCTTATATCAACTTGGTCATGTGCATAACAGGGTGGATCTTGGCACAGCTGATTTCTTCTCAATCGATGTTCTTCTCAATTGCTTGACTGTATTGAGCTCAGAGTAAGCACTCGATTTTATAAGTGGTTTTCATCTTCTGAAGCTTAGATGCCATGCTAACATTTGTTGTTCACTATACAGATATATAGGCATCCAACAAGTTGTTTTTGGTGGTCAGCGGATGGGTGATTGGGAAGAGGGAATGACCAACTCTGATGACGGTTACAAATACTTTGAAATTTGACATGGATGGAGTTATCATGCTCCTGCAATATTCAAGTTTTTCAATTCGAAAAGAGATGAAGCTTTGTAGTAATATCCCTAAAACACGATAAATTTTGATCAGGAGTGTTAGTTACTGTAATTATCATAGTAGTTAGCCTGTATGATAGGTGAAATGATTAATGTGTAGAGCTAATGATAGGATCCTGTAATAGTTTTCTGAATAATCCTGTATTATTATTATTACTAGAATCCCTTGTGTCTGAATATTATTGAAGTGGGATGGAACCATTTTTAAATCTGATGAAGTGATAAGACTGGGAGGTATGGTACTGTAATTACAGAACAAATTAGGCATAAGCAAGTATGAGTAGGAACTTTTGACAGTGTTAAAGAGGCTTATTTCTCCTACAAGTCTAATTTTGAGAAACTAAGACAACAGAGTAAACAAAGGAGAATTGTGATCAAATTCAGGAACCTGAATCACCTATTGTGTTGTCATTCTTGTATGTGGCTAATGATCAAGCCTTAGATACTACTAGTGTGGGGAGAAGAAATAGAAGAATCGATTCTGAGAATCAACACCACATATCGTTGAGGTTCACAAGAACAAGATATAATGGGAAGAACTCGAATCTTCTAAGGAAATCTCATGTCTAATGGCTAGTGTCCATAACACAGAATCATCAAATGAATGTAATACTAGTGCAAGCAATTTTATAGGTCAGTTAAAAATTATCCATCATTTTGAATTCAAATTTGATTAATAAAATTGAGAAAAAAATATAATTTTTTAATAGATTGTAATTATAACCGAATCAAACTAATATTTATCTACCATATATATCCATTATTTTTATTTGATAACATGTCACCTATCACTCTATCTATTAACATGTCACTCTATCTACAAACTTATAGATACTTTTAATAGTTTTTAGAATTTATGAATATAAATCATATGTTTTGAAATAGTCAAATATTTTTGGGGAAATTTGGGCCTAACACAAGGGGATTAACTTGAGAAAAACTTGACCCAAATATTATTTGACAAAAATACTTGAAAATTTGGAACCAAACGCTCGCTAAGTATTGAAATATTCCACCCATTTGAAATTGTAATTGAACCAGAAAGTGAGCAATTTGGGGCCAAAGCTAGCAGAGATTTCTTTGGCACCATGGCCCACTGTGACATAACCAACAGTGGTATTCACTATTGTAATATATCTTCATATCACATAATATATAGATTAAAAAAATTAAAAAACAAATGGTGACCAACAAATCAATATCAAAATTAAACGATCAATAAGAAATAATATTATGATAACTAGTTCTAGCATAACCAATTTTTATCCTAATATGTCTAAATGATCTTTTTTTAAAACTATTTTCAAATTTTAATTTCTAAATATGTAAATGGTGATATCTTCATTAGATGAAACTATGTAATAAACCCTAAATAAAAAAACATAAACCCCATGAGGTACAACGTATAATGCACAAGAAATTTCTATGAAACTATTTCCCTTTAAAAGGAAAAAAAACAAGATGACAGTGACACTCTGGATTCTGTCACGACTCATTGTTTAACAAATTATAGGACTATGGAAGCTGAAACATCCCAATTCTGAATTTGGTCTTTTTTCTTCATAAACCCTACTAACTTGGGGCTGTCACAGGGGGGAAATTTGCACCCAATTTCTCTCTGATTTGCCCCAGGTGAAAGATGATTCTTGGCACATTGTTTTCAGCTGCTACAAAACAGTCAATTTCATTCAGGTACTAGTAACTTTGTATTTGTATATGTATTGCTCATAGTGGGGTTGCTAATAAACTGATAGAAAGTAGGAAGAATCATTGAAGTCCTTGTTGTTAATTGTGGGTCATTAAGACAATTCAAGAATGGGCAATTTCAAGTTGGTTTTAGGAAAAAGTTTTGATTTTTATGAATGTTGTTGTATTTTGACAAGTATATTTGTATTTGTTTATGTATTTCTCATAGCGGGGTTGCTGATAAACTGATAGAAAGTAGGGAAGAATCATTGAAGTCCTTGTTGTTAATTGTGGGTCATTAAGACAATTCAAGAATGGGCAATTTCAAGTTGGTTTTAGGAAAAAGTTTTGATTTTTATGAATGTTGTGTTTTGACAAGTATATGTATTTCTCATAGTGGGGTTTGCTGATAACCTGATAGAAAGCAAGCAAAGAATCATTGAAGACTTAGTTGTTAATTGTGGATCATAAAGACAATTCAAGAATGGGCAATTTCAAGTTGGTTTTAGGAAAAAGTTTTGATTTTTATGAATGTTGTTGTATTTTGACAAGTATATTTGTATTTTTATGTATACTACTCGTAGTTTGTTGTCGATGAACCAAGAGAAATCAAGAGAAGCATTGAAATCGACTTTTTAGTTTTGCACAAGCTTGCCTGAACACCATGGGGTATCAAAAAAGAGAAAAAGATATTGGCCTTTTAGTTCTTAGGAATGTTTTTGAAGCTTGAGAAGTATAGTTTTAGGATGAACAATTTCATTCTAGTATAGTTTTTAGAGGTTTCATTTTTTTTCCCTGTAAATCTTTATTTTGAAATATGCAATTGATGTTACTGTTTGGGTGTAATTTGTTATTTCTTGATTGGCAATGTCCATTTTCAAATTTATAATTTGACGTTATTGTCAGGTGTAATTTGTTACTACTTGATTTGCTGTGTCCAATGGAACTAGTGGCTTGGGACTAGTAGAGGAAGGAAACTTTGACAGGTAACGGCACGTCCTTTGTTTTCTGATCTACAAGTAATTTTAATGAATTCGGTTAAGAATGCTTTATCATTTATCTATGAGCTTTGTGCTGTCATAGAAATATTGAATGCAAGGATCATAAGAGTAATTGAAATCGCTTGAAACACTTTTAAATCCTTTTCTCTCTCTATTGTTCTCCTAAAATGGTAAGTGTTACATTTAGAAATTCTATTTAAGACGGGGATTTTTTTTCTGGAAATTATGATGTTTATACTACTAGTAGCTTTTATTTATTATTTTAGAGCTTTGATGTGCATTTATTGTGATGAACTGATCATATGCAATGTATAATGCATAACATCAAGCATATTTAATAGCTAATAGGCAATTGGTATTGCAATTTCATTCAATGTGAAGGAGGATAGCTCAATATTATGCTCAGTTTATGATTCCAATCTTACAACTTAAACTATAGCATCTAGTATAATCGGGTGAAAAACATCTTAGGCAGGAACATGTACAGACATGTATAAAGACTATTTTACACCAATGCTTAAATGAACTTGCTGGATGATTTACTTGGTTTTGTTACTTTTTGCACCAATTTGTTTTGTTTACTTTTTAGTTTCTATGATGTTTGTGTGCAAATAAACTAGTTCTTTTTCACATAATAATAATAATAGTAATAATGCGGTTACATCCACATTGCAGTTGGCAATCTTCTAGCATTTTATGTTTTGGAGAACATTTTAAATCATTGTGATAATATGGCTGGGGGAAGTCAACCACGCCAAAGTGACAAACCTTCAATCAGATACAGGTGTAATCTACTTGATGGGGCACTGTTTGAAATCACTGATTTAGACCGACAAAGTAATGCCCCTATTTCTTCTGGAAATAAGGAGAACCCTAAAAATACTGACTCTGAATCTTCTGAGATAATGAGCACAAGTGAGCTCATATCAGCAGTTGGAAGTATATGGGATTCTGCAGCTCGCCCTGTTACACGAATCCTATCTAAAGCAAGTTCTAGATGCAATAATACTGATCACCAAGAAAACAACATATTTGGTTACTCCACTGCAGATAAAATTTCTGGTGTTTGTTTTTCACCTCCTGATCACTCAATACCTGTCAATGTGGATAGTGATACAGATTCTTCACCTCTACTGCTTGCAAATGTGGAACGACTAACAGCGAACCAGAAAGTCTCATTCTTTGGTCATCTCTTAGGAAGTTCTTCTCTGCAGAGTCTCCTCCATGACAGATCTACCATGCATCCAGAAACTCGGAAAGCAAAAGATTTCGTCAATTATTTACAGAATGTGTATGGTTGGATGCATGAAGCATCCTTACTGAAATTTAAGCAACATTTAAATTGTGCTAGTATTGGATGCCATGAAAACAGAAAATGTACCATAGAAGTCACGACAAACAGTCCTTTAAGTTGCTGCTCAGTTGTGGATACAGTAAATGCTGATGGCCAGACTGACAGGGAAGAGCCTGCTGGTTCATTGTTAAATCAGATCGCAAAGCATGACGAGATCGACAGGGTGTCAACCGGCACTTCATCTCTAAGGCACTATAATGAAGTTTTTCATGACAAAAAGTCAAACACACTAGAGATTTCATGTTCCGAAAATAAGTCAGTCTTCCATGAGTACTCTGTCATTCCAACTTGTTCTGCTAGTGTAGATGACAAAGTTAATGCTAAGGATCACATATATGATTCTGCCATTAATGAAAAAGTAGAACTGGAGGAAGAGCTCAGTTCTGAAGTACAGATCTCTGTGGCAAAGGAAAAGCCTCGGTATGCACTTGCAAAACAAGAGCATGCTTTTGCAGGAGCAATGGCTGGAATTTTTGTCAGCCTTTGTCTTCATCCAGTTGACACAATTAAGACTGTTATTCAGTCATGCCCCAATGATCAGAAGCCACTTTATTATATAGGCAGATCATTTATTTCTGAAAGAGGTATATTTATTTGAAGCTGTACATCACTTTTCAATATGACAATTCCTTACATGCAGTGAGATGCTTCTCTTTCTTAGAGCCTATGTTTTGACCTTTGAAATTGTTGGTCAACTTATCTCAGGAGTAACAGCACTTTATCGGGGAATTTCGACCAATCTTGCTTCGTCTGCACCAATATCTGCACTTTACACCTTTACATACGAATCAGTGAAAGGGGCCTTACTTCCTCTTTTTCCTAAGGTGAATGTTTTGTGTTCTTCTTTTTTCCCCTTTTATGTTAAACTTCCCCTCAGAATTGCTGTCCACACCACCCAAGCAAGCCGAGAATGGAATTGGAAAAATAAATGAAAGGAGACTGTTAGGCTTGCGAAGTTATTATAATTTCTATAAATTAGTAAAGGAGAAACTGGTC